TTAATATTGTAAATTATAATATACAACATAATGTTGTGTTCTTTTCTTATTTAGAGGAAGATGAGGATTTTTCTTTTAGATGGCAGATATATATAGGGTTGGGAGTATTTTTAAGGTTTTTTAATCAACTTATATAATAAACTTTTTCAAAAGTAATTATATTAAATTTTAATGGGAAATGGTATTTGTCACATTGGAGAAGTGAATGGATAAGAAATAAAACGATCTTACGATAAAATCTAAGTTAATCATATTATAGATCTTCCTAATTCATTCGCTTAAAGTCCTTCTAAACCTACAATAGAAACACAAAACCCAACAATTAGTTTAAATTAAGATGATTGTTATGATATCCTTTTAACAAGTTCTTTAGATATGGTTCATTTAGAACAAGATGCAACATCATTAAAAAAGTATGAGTACAAAGGCAAAACTAAGTTAAGTACATTACCAATATTGCCTGAATTAGCAAAGGATTCATTGAATTCAGGCAATGTAACTGAGCTATAGCTTCCTAATAGCTCAATAATTGAACCAAAGCCCATTTTAAAAATATGTGAGTAATTAAAGAGTAATCAAAGCAAAAAGAAAGTAAGATTTAATGATGATGATTGAAATTTTGAATTAAATATGTTTATTATAGTTGATTTACTTTATCTTCAATAAAAGAAAAAGTCTTGTAATTACAATTTATTAAAAATTATAATTTTTAATTTTTCTTTAATTATGAATCGACATTGAAGTTATTGGGATGAATGAATTATTAGTAAATTTTATGTTAATTTACTTTAATAATAGATTTAAATCACAATTTATATAATTTTTATATATTTCTTTTATATCATTATAGGTAATTGTAAAGCATTTGTAGTTAAACAAAAGCATCATTAAATTGATCTTGCTTTTAATAAAGCTATTATTTCAAAATGGATGCCTTTTGTATGAACTATTATTGCCATAGAGCAGATTTTTTTTAGGAAACTCTTTATTAAATGGAAACAAATAGTGAATCATATATATTTGGATGTTTTTTTAAATGATTATATAGAATTTTTCCAATCTCTTAAACTCTTTAATTATAAATATAAGCAGCTATCAATAAATCTTCCAAAATGAATTAAATGAGTACCTAATTATATTTAAATATATTTTACATAATGTTTATTTAAAATATCTGGTTTATCTTTGGCAATTTCAAATATTTTAATAGCTAAAGTGAAAGTTTATTTTTCTTATATTCTAATAGCTTTATTAGCAAATTCAAGTATTAAATGTGAATCATTAGGATTCATCTTATTATTAGCTAATTCAAATTCAACAAGCCATTCACATACTCGATATAATGGTTCCATTTTATGAATAAGAACATTAAGATCATTTAAATTTATAAGATGTAAGAGTTTGTAAATTAATTGTAATATCTACTCTTTGACTTTAACTTTACTTGTTAAACATTATCTCATGTATTTAAAATTAACAAATAATTTAAGTAACTTTCTAATAGGTCTATAATAAACTTAATATATTTTTTTTTCACTTTTTTCTCCAAGTTATCTTTCCTAATTAAAATCATTATTATTTCTAGTTAACCAATCAACATAATATTGTGATAAACTATATATCCATTCATACATTTCATCTACAATTTCACTTCTTAATGATTTTACTGAATCTATACTTATCATTTTTTTAGTGAATACTAATAAAGTGATTGATGTTTCTGATATGGGATTTAATTATAGAAATTGTTTGAATTAATTAAATCTTTATTATTCCCACATCATTGTCATAATTTATTTATATGAAAATCTTCCATTTGCATTTAATAGACTTTTGAATATATACATAATTGATTAAACATCTTATAAATTAGTCACTAAACCATTCAAACCTACTAAAAATTTATTGAGTAAATTATCACAATCTTCAGAATTATAAAATGCTTCATTTTAAGCATTATAAATACTACATTTAATACTATAATAGAGTTCTTATAATTCTGTATCTTGAATTAATTGAAAATGATCAAATATACTTAAACATTCAGATGGTATCATGATATTATTAATAGTACATATATAATTGTTATAGATTTAATCTTTTTCAAATCTTATTTTTGAATTACTTATTAATCTTAGACATTTTTTGAGTAGATTTGTATCTGTTATTGCTAATAATTGTGTGAAATCAAAGAAAAGTTTTCTTTCTATTTATATCTATTACATTATTGGTTCAAATTTAATTAGAAGATCAGAATCAAATAAAGCTGACCAAAGATAATAATAAAACTTGGTTTAAATACCATTGGATTGTAAATGAGCATTGATTTTCCATAGAACATCAATTAATTCAATAAAAAAAGTTTAATAATTGAATTGATTAAATGTTTCAAGATCAAAAGGATATAAAAATCTATCCATACTTTAATAATGACGTAATTTAACCAAAACATCTAATTAATATGATGTAGAATAAACTAGACTTTTAAATCCAAGTAATAAGAAATCAAATGCATGTACAACAATTTTTAAATTATTCAAATTTTGAGCAATAAATTACTAAAAAAATTAAAAGTAATTTTTATTTATAAATTATGTAATTACTTTAATATTGTATCTAATATTTTAGTAATATTGATTCTCTGTAAGCAATACCTCAGTCTAAGACAAAACCCAATTACTAAAGAAGTTATAAATAATCTGAATAAAAAGTTGATTAAAATATTCCTTATTAAAATTTGGTACTTATCTATAATATCTACAAATTTCTCTTAAAAATCTAAATACTTAAACCTATTATTCAATAGTATTAGCTTTAGAGAATAATTACATATTAAACACTAACCAATCTTAATTAGTATTAGCATAGATAGTTCTACATGAAAATTTCAAAAGTTTTACAAGATCCAATTAAGTAGGATCTAATTTCTGAACTTCTTAAGTCATAAAAAGAATTAAATCCAAAGCTCTTTATTCTTTGAGGAAATGTTTTTTAAATATTTTACAAATTTTACCAAGTACATTCCATAATATATTACATTGTGGTAATAATCTGAGTAATAATTAGATAAATTCAGGATCTAGAATATTAGCCCATAATCTTTTAATGTCTGAACGTGTAGGATCAACCCATTGTAGATTAGAGTTTTCAATCATCAATTATTATATTTCAGCTTCAATGAAACAAGGATTAAATCTTGAAAGTTAACATTATAAAGAATTATTATTTTTAATATCAGCTCTTCTTAATTTATGAAAGTCTTTTTCCTTAGTATCTGTAATGAATTCTCCTTCCATTATTAAACTAAATAAATTGATTGCTTTATCAACAAGATCAACATAGTTATTTTTTAAGATTAACATGATACTATTAAGTAATAATTCAAGGTTATTTTTGTAAAAGTAATTTTTAACTGCTCTATGTTGGGAATCTAGAGTGATTACAGCTATTTTATGTAATTTATGATTTGGTGTTAATCTTCTAATAACTGCTTCTAGAATAGCAAAGGCGGCTATTGGTTTTGCACTTAGAAGTTCTTGAATATATAAATTGAAGGAGTTTGTAGGTAGCTTATCTTAAAAATGAAACATAATTGTAGCTAAAATTGAGCCTAAAAAATGATAAACCGGTTTTGAAGTAGAATTGATTTTTCTGATGATTTGAAAGACTCCTTGATAAATGTTTTCAAAACAAGTGATTTCTTAATGATTAGTATCAATATATGTAGCAATTAGGGATCCAATTATTTATAATGTTAATTCATTTTCTGTTTAATTGGCTAGATGGAATAAATTAATCAAGAGTTCTTGATTCATAGACCTATAGAGTTGATCAACTTGGGTTTAGAATTAACAGATAAGAACATTTTCATCTAAAATATTCATAGTAAAATATATTAATAAATAATAGTTGACTTCAAAATGCAACCAAAATTGTAAAAATTGAACTAATTTCTTAGGACTGATCTTTGTAAGCATTTTTTAGATACAAATGAGAGACCTTAGAATTCAATAAAGAAATACAAACCAGAAGAACGTTTTGAAGATTATCCAAAATCAAAAGAACTAATTAGATTAAAAAGTGAGTTAATTAAGAAACATAATCATCCTCCAAATTATATAAAGGCTGATTTAAGATCATTTGATTTGTAATAATTGGGAAAAGTATTATTTGTTATTATTAAATAATAGTTTGATGTAATTCTAATAGATCCACCTTGGTCAGAATATGCTAAAAGATTAATGTAGGCAAATATGTAGGTTAAAGAGCATCAATAATCTTGGACTTTAGAAGAATTGAAACAATTACATATTGATAAAATTGCAGATATTCCAAGTTTTATCTTCTTATGGTGTGGATCTGAACATTTAGATGATGGTAGAGAGTTATTTAAAACTTGGGGATTCAAAAGATGTGAAGATATTGTTTGGTTGAAAACTAATAAAGATCATTCAAAATAAAATTAATATGTTGCTGGATAAGATTATGGAGACAATTTATTTAGAAGAGTAAAAGAACATTGTTTAGTTGGTTTGAGAGGAGATGTAAAAAGAGCATCTGATTAACATTTTATTCATGCTAATATAGATACAGATGTTATTATAACAGAAGAGGAAGTAATGGGATCCACTAAAAAACCAGAAGAATTATATGAGATTATAGAGAGATTTTGTTTAGGAAGAAAAAGAATTGAATTATTTGGAGAAATACATAATATTAGAGATGGTTGGTTAACTATTGGATCATAATTAAGAGATACTAGATAAATACCATAATAATATAATTCTTATTTCTAATAAGAATAATTTAGTGAAGAAAAACCATTCATGGGTCCTAGGTATTTATAAACTACAATTGAAATTGAAAATTTGAGACCTAAATCCCCTCCAAAAGAACAATAGTAATAATAACCACAAACATATTTTTATTGAGTATTTCATTTATTATATTGATTCAATAATAATATTTATTAAAAATGATTATAATGAAAAAAACATTAATAAATATGTATATGTTTGATTGATGATATCACATCATTATTATTGCAAATAGAATCATGATTATTGATAAGGCTTTACTATCAACTGGAGAATCTGCACAAGATTAGCATTTATTATCTTTCCAAACCTTTGAATAAGCACTTTCAGAAAAACAGGTTTCAGCTGTATAATGTTCATCTTCTCCATCAATGCATTTACCTTCTGCTGTCCAATGACATAATGTTGCATATGATGGTTATAAGGATAAAGAAAAAAATCTACATTAATCCTTTACTAAAATATCTGAACATTTTTTTTCTCTGCATTTATTTGTGTCCCAAACACATGATCCGAAACTTCTTTTGCATTACTCTTCATTATAACTACCTTAGTCACATGATTTCATTGTGATACATTTTGCAGGATCGCCATATAAAACACATATACTTTCTGAAGTTGATTTGCAAACCTCATTAGCAAGAGATTCACATTCTAAAGGTTTCTTTTTTCCACATTTATCATCTTCCAATACAATGCATTGATGATTTATATTGTTGCATTTTTAATCCACAGTCTCTTTGTAATCAGAACATTATTTGAAATCAACACATTTATTTTCAACCCAGCCACAAACAGATTGTGCTCTACACAATTCTTGTCCATCTATCAAAGAACAAGTCACTTTTGGATCTGAATCACAAGTATTTTTTTATTCATTCCAATCACAATTTATGTTTCCATCCGGATGATAATTATCACACTCTTCTTACTTTAACACTTCTTCACAAGTGCATCCATTGATTTTAATTGTCATTGTATAGCTAACTATTAACAAGGAGAGCAAGACTAATGATCTAACCATAAATTATTTTTATGATGTAATACTCAAATAATCATATTTGAATTCACAAGATATTGTATATAGAATTCAATTAAATATTATTAATATGATTTATATTCATTTTTCCACCTCCTTAGTACTATTTATCAGATACATTCAAATTATAGAATAATAAAAACATATTCTAAACTATTTTCATCCTTAGTTATCATACTTTAACATGATATTTATTCCTAATTTATGATATCATGAATAAAGAATATTATAGAATATAAATAATTGTTAATATCTTCCTAAGTATAATAATATTATTAACATAGTTGATCCTATAGGTTTGATAATCAAAGTAACACTAAAAAGAAACTTTATATTTAGACTATACTGATATAAATAATATTTCATATTACTTGAACAATTTAATACTATTCAATATAATTAAGATGAAGAATAATTAAATCAATGAAACTCTAAAATAAATGGGTTTCAATATCTTATATCACTCAAAAAGACATAAACTATAAGAGTTAAATGTGTATACAAAGATGAACTGATAATGAAATAGAAATCTTTGAAAAAATAAACAAACAGAACAGAGGAAGTTCAAAATATCATTTACTATATAATAAAAATTCTTTTATGGAATATATTTACAAAAATAACAATGTAGTAAATTCTTATTTGTAATAACATCACTAATATTTAGGCAAATATGAAATTATTTGAAATAATAGTTAGCTTTTCAATTACAATTTCAAAGTGTAAATGATTATAATAGATATTTGAGATATGGATAAAACCATTAAATTAAGTTGTATTAGCATTAACTCAAAAAATATCTTGATAATATGTACGCATTAGGTTTAAGATTTACTTTTGTAATAATAATATTAAAGATTTACGAAACTTATCTTCAATTATCCTTAGTAAGTTCAATAATAATACAATCAAAACTAAAGAATAACAATAAAATTAAGTTATATTTAGAACTTGCATCAGATGGCAATAAAACAATTATACAAAGATCAAAAAACCTAAGAATTCCAAATGATTTAATACTGATTATAGATAAATTTAATTAGATATTCATTTATGATAGTAATTCTTAAAATATAAACTAATGATTCCTTAAATCTTTATTTTCTAATCATTTAATTATTATTTAGTTAATTAAGTTTAGAATTGGTTCCTTAAAAAATGTATAGTTTTTATTAGTCAATTTAGATTAATAATGGTAGATAATTAAGAAACATTAATAATTTAGTACTTTCATATATATAGTAACATATAAATTACAAGAATTAAATATTAAATTAATGTTCCAATCTTTACTCTATCAATTTAAATTGAAGACTAAACTGATCAATCTTTGTAAATAAAACAATAAAATTATTAATTGACATAAAATAAGAATTTAAATTTTTGAACAATACTCAATAATAATATACATTGTATTAAAAATAATAATTGAATCAATCGACTTATCTAATGAGATTTGTTAATTCTTTGACATTTAATAATTAGCAATTTCAAAATAAGATAAATGTCTAGGTATTCGAATTGAATACTACATTTCATTAAATTATCCTAAATTTGATATCAATACAACAAGATATTATTGTCCTATTTCGAGAATTTATGATGTAGGAATGTTTGATTTATTGATCCATGCCATTTAAACAGAAATAAGATCTTTTCTACTCATATCAATTTTGATAGGATGGGCATATTCTTAATATTAATGGACTTTATACTAATTACCTTTATAATGGATATGGTACAATAGAAGTCCCTAAAAATAATATAAATTCAAATTACTAATATATTGGAATATTTGCAGAATCATCAACAATTGCAGTTTTTTTTTCAAGTTATTTTCAAAGAACTATTAATGATTGTTAATATTAGGTATAGCTACCAATGGTGATAATAAACATATAGGATTACTTTATGTGGTTGACACTCTTGATGAATTAGTTCTGATGGAAGAACTAATTTGGTATATGGAGGAGAAAAAGATAAATACTACATTTTTACTAAAAATTGAATAAAATTCAAATGGAAAAGTTTTTAGCGGTCCTAAGCGTTAATTAAAACCTATATATTTGTAATAGTATTTACCATAACCAAATGATTAACATTAATCCTTGTTTATGGTAGTAAGTATTAATTATTCAATTTTATTTAGGGCTTTTAAAAAANTATTAGCATTAACTCAAAAAATATCTTGATAATATGTACGCATTAGGTTTAAGATTTACTTTTGTAATAATAATATTAAAGATTTACGAAACTTATCTTCAATTATCCTTAGTAAGTTCAATAATAATACAATCAAAACTAAAGAATAACAATAAAATTAAGTTATATTTAGAACTTGCATCAGATGGCAATAAAACAATTATACAAAGATCAAAAAACCTAAGAATTCCAAATGATTTAATACTGATTATAGATAAATTTAATTAGATATTCATTTATGATAGTAATTCTTAAAATATAAACTAATGATTCCTTAAATCTTTATTTTCTAATCATTTAATTATTATTTAGTTAATTAAGTTTAGAATTGGTTCCTTAAAAAATGTATAGTTTTTATTAGTCAATTTAGATTAATAATGGTAGATAATTAAGAAACATTAATAATTTAGTACTTTCATATATATAGTAACATATAAATTACAAGAATTAAATATTAAATTAATGTTCCAATCTTTACTCTATCAATTTAAATTGAAGACTAAACTGATCAATCTTTGTAAATAAAACAATAAAATTATTAATTGACATAAAATAAGAATTTAAATTTTTGAACAATACTCAATAATAATATACATTGTATTAAAAATAATAATTGAATCAATCGACTTATCTAATGAGATTTGTTAATTCTTTGACATTTAATAATTAGCAATTTCAAAATAAGATAAATGTCTAGGTATTCGAATTGAATACTACATTTCATTAAATTATCCTAAATTTGATATCAATACAACAAGATATTATTGTCCTATTTCGAGAATTTATGATGTAGGAATGTTTGATTTATTGATCCATGCCATTTAAACAGAAATAAGATCTTTTCTACTCATATCAATTTTGATAGGATGGGCATATTCTTAATATTAATGGACTTTATACTAATTACCTTTATAATGGATATGGTACAATAGAAGTCCCTAAAAATAATATAAATTCAAATTACTAATATATTGGAATATTTGCAGAATCATCAACAATTGCAGTTTTTTTTTCAAGTTATTTTCAAAGAACTATTAATGATTGTTAATATTAGGTATAGCTACCAATGGTGATAATAAACATATAGGATTACTTTATGTGGTTGACACTCTTGATGAATTAGTTCTGATGGAAGAACTAATTTGGTATATGGAGGAGAAAAAGATAAATACTACATTTTTACTAAAAATTGAATAAAATTCAAATGGAAAAGTTTTTAGCGGTCCTAAGCGTTAATTAAAACCTATATATTTGTAATAGTATTTACCATAACCAAATGATTAACATTAATCCTTGTTTATGGTAGTAAGTATTAATTATTCAATTTTATTTAGGGCTTTTAAAAAAGAAACTAAATAATAATTGGAATATATCAATCACCAAAATATAGCTATAATTTGATTATATATTATTAAATATTATATATAATAAAATATTTTATTTAATTATGATATTATCAAATTAAATCTAATTAATTAACTGTGAAAAATATTTATATCCAAAATATTTACAATTCACTTTATTTATTATTTTATAATTAAAAGGATCTAACCATAAATTAAGAATGTCTTAAAACACCATATAAAATGAAAGGGTCAGATAATATTAAAAAGTGCATTAAATCTAAAAGGAGTAACTCCAACATTTAGTCTTTAGATAATCTTATTCCATTAAATCTGTAATACATACATCTTATATATAGGCTTCTAAACTCTTAAACATAAAATATGCTACTGCAAAATCTATTATATCTAAAATTCGAAAATTGAAAATAAAAAAATACTTATACCTCAACAAAAAATTGGGGCAGTGTTAATTTAAAAAAGTTGAATTCTCCAAACCATAATTAGAAATTCAATCTTTAGTGTCAGGAACTTTGATTAGTTCATGTTAATACTATTTATATTGAATATCTTAATCAAATTTATTCTTATTTTTTTTTGGAGGATTTTGCTGTAAGCAAATATCATTGTATAATATACATTAATATTTAAAAAAGTCAAGCTCATTTTAAGTTCCCTATCATGATGGACTTACAAAGACTTGTTTTCAAACATTGTTTATTATCTTTTAAATAAAGCTAAGTTCCTTAGTTTGATCATAATCCTTCAATTTCATCAATTGATTTCCTATAACTATCAATAGAATAGTTCATATTTCTTTTCATAAAAGCATATCCGCCAAAATACCTAAATATATAATCTCTAATTCTACCTAAGGTCACTGGCAAATAATTTTTTAAACTTAAAAATAAATTAATGATCTGTACGGTACCACTATACAATTGAAATCAAATAGATCATAAATCTATAAATTAAGAAAATAAGGGCTATTTATTGTAAGGATTACCATTGACAATGAAACCCTTTGATTCATAAAAAAAATTTAATAAAGGCAATTTTAATAAATCATTTCAATAATATAAATATATATTCTANAGCTACCAATGGTGATAATAAACATATAGGATTACTTTATGTGGTTGACACTCTTGATGAATTAGTTCTGATGGAAGAACTAATTTGGTATATGGAGGAGAAAAAGATAAATACTACATTTTTACTAAAAATTGAATAAAATTCAAATGGAAAAGTTTTTAGCGGTCCTAAGCGTTAATTAAAACCTATATATTTGTAATAGTATTTACCATAACCAAATGATTAACATTAATCCTTGTTTATGGTAGTAAGTATTAATTATTCAATTTTATTTAGGGCTTTTAAAAAAGAAACTAAATAATAATTGGAATATATCAATCACCAAAATATAGCTATAATTTGATTATATATTATTAAATATTATATATAATAAAATATTTTATTTAATTATGATATTATCAAATTAAATCTAATTAATTAACTGTGAAAAATATTTATATCCAAAATATTTACAATTCACTTTATTTATTATTTTATAATTAAAAGGATCTAACCATAAATTAAGAATGTCTTAAAACACCATATAAAATGAAAGGGTCAGATAATATTAAAAAGTGCATTAAATCTAAAAGGAGTAACTCCAACATTTAGTCTTTAGATAATCTTATTCCATTAAATCTGTAATACATACATCTTATATATAGGCTTCTAAACTCTTAAACATAAAATATGCTACTGCAAAATCTATTATATCTAAAATTCGAAAATTGAAAATAAAAAAATACTTATACCTCAACAAAAAATTGGGGCAGTGTTAATTTAAAAAAGTTGAATTCTCCAAACCATAATTAGAAATTCAATCTTTAGTGTCAGGAACTTTGATTAGTTCATGTTAATACTATTTATATTGAATATCTTAATCAAATTTATTCTTATTTTTTTTTGGAGGATTTTGCTGTAAGCAAATATCATTGTATAATATACATTAATATTTAAAAAAGTCAAGCTCATTTTAAGTTCCCTATCATGATGGACTTACAAAGACTTGTTTTCAAACATTGTTTATTATCTTTTAAATAAAGCTAAGTTCCTTAGTTTGATCATAATCCTTCAATTTCATCAATTGATTTCCTATAACTATCAATAGAATAGTTCATATTTCTTTTCATAAAAGCATATCCGCCAAAATACCTAAATATATAATCTCTAATTCTACCTAAGGTCACTGGCAAATAATTTTTTAAACTTAAAAATAAATTAATGATCTGTACGGTACCACTATACAATTGAAATCAAATAGATCATAAATCTATAAATTAAGAAAATAAGGGCTATTTATTGTAAGGATTACCATTGACAATGAAACCCTTTGATTCATAAAAAAAATTTAATAAAGGCAATTTTAATAAATCATTTCAATAATATAAATATATATTCTATAGGAAGTTGTTTTATAATTAAATTTCACTTGCCTTGTAAAAAGTATTCAAATCTATTTCTAAAGAACATAATTCAAAATTTATCAATTTGATAATCATATTCTTTATATACTCTCAATTTATCTTATTAATCTAATTAAGAAAATAGCTTATTTTAAGTTACAATTATAGTATGAGATGGATGGAATTTTAAAATCAGTACTTTTTTATCCCATTTTTTATAATGGTATTTATAAACTAAAATAAAATATATTGGATAAATGATTTGGTTGAATTAGATAAATTTTATTTATTTCCTAGATAGCATATGCTAATATTATTAAAATTAAGATTGATATAAGTCATTAATGTTCTAATTAGATTTTTTAATTTGTGAAAATTCTTTAATTTAGAAGAATGGATGCTTTTTTATGAGACAGTTGTTTATTAAATTTTTTATTTTTCTAAAATTGTAGTGGGAAATGGATTATAAATTTTTTATGTAATTTTTTCAGTAATTGTGTGGAAATAGAGGTAAAGTCTTAAGAAATTTATATAACCATATTATTTAACTTGAATTATTTATAAATTGGTATAGTACGGAAGAATAAATAAAAATATTGATATTAATTTTATCTTAAGGAATGTTATAATTACCTATTAATAATAGAACACCAGGATAAAATTTTAGTTTTAATTAGTTTGCCTCTGCACCTAATTCTCCTGATAGAAATACACCAAACACTATTAAAGATTATATAAAGTATAGATAACGAAATTTAATTGATTTTGTAAAAAGTCGATTATAGAGTCGGCAAAATAGTCCAAAAAACCTTTTTAAAGTAGATCTAATCTAGTTTGCCAAAAAGAAATATGATAGTATGCCCAGTCCTATTATGGGAGAGAATAAATTTTTATCAACTTAAAGATCAATAGGTGATTCAATCTAGATTGTTAATGGTTAGGGGATGACAGAAGATACATTATTTGATGAAATAATAGATTTAGAAAATGCTATAAATTCAAATGGATTTGAAAAGAAAGTTATGGGATCATAGAAACAAATAAATCATTCAATAATGAAAAAAGAAGTAACTGAAGATGGTTAAGTGAAAATTAATTAATATACAATATTATAGGAACTTGGTAAGGGATCATTTGGGAAGGTGAAATTGGCTAAGGATAATAATAGAAAATATGTATGAAATTAGGAGTTATGATGTTAGGCAGTGAAAATATGTGATAGAAAGAAATTAAAATTAAAGTTACTTTCAAGTAAAATGGATGCCTATTCATTATTGGATAAGGAGATAGCCATAATGAAGAAGGTAGATCATGAAAACATTGTTTAACTCTATGAGGTAATTGAAAATCCAAATAACGATAAATTATATTTGGTTTTGGAATATATGGATGGACCTTAACTATTATAAATTAAAAATAAGAACATTGATACTATATGGAGATTATTTAGAGATTTCATGTTAGGATTAGAATATTGTATATAATACCTATACTAAATTATAAGTACATAATTTTGCCAATATTGCCCATATGGACATTAAACCAGAAAATCTTTTACTTAACTAAGAACTTAGATTGAAAATAGCTGATTTCGGTGTTTCTTAAATAATGGATGATGATTTGGTCAAATCAAAAATTGGGACATCAGCTTATCAACCTCCAGAAGTATTTACTGAAGATTAAGTAAGAGGTAAACCAATAGATGTATGGGCTGCTGGATTAACTTTATATTAATTAGTTTATAATGAACATCCATTTATTTCATTAAAGTAGGATCAATTAAAGAATAATATACTTACATAAAATATTAAATGGAGAGAGACATCAGACTTAACAGATTTATTAAAGAGAATGTTAGACAAGAATCCTAATAATAGAATTACAACATAATAAGTGTTAGTATTTTTATTGATTTATTTAAGGAACATCCATGGGTGACTAAAAATGGTAGATTTCCTTTGAAAAATGAATATTAGGGTAATTTTTGTGTTACTGAGAATGATATACATAATGCTATAACAAGATTGTCTTTCAATATGGCTATTAGAACTTTAAATAAATTGAAATAGAAGTTAAACCAATCTCGTTAAAGATTAAAATAAAGAAAGGCTTAAGAATCATGATAATCTGACTTTAATTTTATTAATTTAGATTATATTTCTAATTTACTATAAGAAATTAATTCTAATAATTATGAATTTTAATATAAAAGTCACATTTAATAACTCTATATGTCATCTTACAATTGACAATGACAATAACTTAATAATCATGAATTAAATATTATTGATGACATTCCCTCTAAATTTAGATTCAAATATTGTATGGAAATTAGAAAAAAATATACTGCTAGGCTTTGAAATTAATACATTTTAGTTTACAGGTAACCATAATGATCTTTTGAATCTAAAATCTAACTTAGGCAAACTTGTTACCTATAAAAAAATTAGTAATATGTACAACTTCCTTAGTACTCTTGGGAAAGGTAATTATTCACAAGTATGTTTACTCCAGTGCAAAATAACAAATAAACTATATGCTGCAAAATGTATGAGGAAAGAAAATTAATAAGTTTTAAATGATATTAAAAGAGAGATTATGATTTGGTCTATGTTTTAACATAACAATATTGCTAGATTTTATGAAGTATATGAAAGTACAAATACAATTTATATTGTTATGGAGAAACTAAATAAATTAAGAAATGATTATGATCATGAAGAAATTAAGTTAATTATGAAAGTATGTTTATAATACAATTTATTAGGATATTCTAGAAGGTGTTCATTATATCCATTCTAAGAATATTATTCATAGAGATTTAAAAATTGATAATATATTGATTGATGATGAAAATTAAATTAAAATCATTGATTTTGGATTAGCTTGCCAATTTAATAATATTGAATCCAGAAATATTAGTTGTGGTACTCCTGGTTATATAGCACCTGAAGTTCTGACAAATAAACCTTTTGATTATAAATCTGATATTTTTAGTGTAGGAGTTGTCATGTATTACCTTTACTTTAATAAACATTTATTCTAAGCAGATCAAATAATTGACATCTTAAAACTCAATAAGAAATTCACTATATCTCGATTATCAGTTTTAAATATACCAGATTGTGGTTATTAATTATTAAGAAGTTTATTGAATCATAATCCAATGTAAAGAATAACAGCCTCATAGGCTCTTACTCATTGGTATATGAATTCAATCAAGGAAGATCATTTTATAAAAGTACCAAGAAATCCTTAACCTAAATTCAAAGATCACATTTTATCATGCACAATAATATACTCAAAAACTACTATAACTTCATAAAATAAAATATATTGATAATATAAAACTTGTTAATTAAATATTGAATAAAGATCAAATTTAATATAATAATTAAAAATTAAGTTTAATTTACATTTTTTTAATAACTTCTTAGCCTCAAATTTCATTTATTTACTTAATTGCTTATTAACTAACCATCTTTTTTGTGAGATTAACATATATTTATAAATTCCTTAAATATTTAAATTAAGACAGTATTTATTATTATTCTATATAAAAACAAAATACTATAATTGGTTTTACATAATAATTCAATCTTAATTATAAGTTTATACAATTATATCATCTATTCAAAAAGTAATACATATATAGATTAATTTCTATTACTTAATTTAAGAAATAAATAGATTAATCTATATTTATATTTATAGTATTACCTCTTGATCGATCTAGATTAATTCAGGAAATAAATTACTTATATATTTACTAAAAAAAATTGAAAAATATCAAATAATTCAATTTACACTGATTATAAGTCTTTATTATTAATTAATGATAAGCTTTTTCAGAAATAGACTATAACTTTTGTTTATTCATTTTTTAATATACACTTAATGCCAAACTTCATTTTGATCATTAAATATTTATCTCCAATATGATAAAGCACTTTACTTTTTTATAGTAAATAGTAGATGATGAGGAGAATAGAATTTAGAATAAGCAAATACATTTTATTATATTATTATCAGATATTAATAAATTCACAAATATAATTAAAATAATAAATAAATGTTAATTAGAACAGCTACTACTTATATGATGCTTCATTCTAATACTCCTAAATATCCAATAACGAGGGAATTTTTTAGAAAGTTGTTTTCATGTACTCTATTTGATATTTTACATTCTTAGCTAAACCACAAGAACCTAAAGAATAATTACTTTAATCACCTGATATGAAAACATTTGCAGCTCATATAAAATAAATGGAGTAAATTCCATCTTAGAAAGAATAAAACTTGACAGTTTTTAATAAATTAAATATTGGTTTTTCAATATTTAGAAAGTATTTTAGATACTTTGTATACTTTTTTTTTAAAATGGTTTACCTCATATTAGATGAATACAAGAGATTTATAATATTTGGAATAATATTCTATTTTTTGTGAAGAATTTAACATTTTTATATATAACATATATCACTAATCAAAGAGCTGTACTCAGAATAGTCTTCGGTTAATGATAATTTTCTTATTATCTACATTATAAGCAATTAAATATTGACCATCATTTGTAAGAATGGATCCTTAATATAATCCTTTTAATCTTTATATTTACAAAGGATTATCAATTTCTACAAATCTCCATATATCTACAGCATAAGAATTTTAGGATATCATTATTTTCAAAATTGGATAAAATTTGATTCTATCAACACATCCTAAATTTGATTAAAGTATTCTCGATTAAGTAAATAATCCAGTAGATGAATTTCTTTGCCAAATTATTACTTCTCTACTACCAGTAACAAATTATTCATCATTTATAAAGCAAACAGAAAAAATATCATATTAATGAGCATTTTCTATTTTCTATATCATTTTCCAAACCTTTGAAATACTTTAATAAATATTTATTGATCTATCCCAACTAACAGATATTAAATTCTTATCATTTTGACTTAATTATAATTGTAATATTTCCCTTTTATGATCATTCAAACTTTATGATTATTACCATGAATTTTCACATTTATTCCAAATCTATATAGTTTGATCATATCCTGTAGAAAATAATTAATTATCTTAAGAATTAATCACTATAGATTTTATACAATCTTTATGACCTTTGAGTTCTTAACTTAATTCAAAAGTACCCTTATCTGAAATTTTCCAAATTCTAATAATTTTATCTACTCCTCCAGAGAAAAAGTACATTTAAGAATTACTCAAACATATGGTCTCAATATAACCTCTATGAGATTTATCTTCTTATAGTTAATTTAATTTGTCATCTTTAAATAAATAGCTTCTTATTTTATTTTCACAATTACTAATAATTAAATTATGTTTATGAGCTATTTAAATATCAAAACATATATCTTATGGATGTTCATAACATTTTTAATAGGTTATTAATTCTTCAATAGATTTTTTGTAGTCTTCTACATATTTTAATGCTGTATTAAACTAATTAATAAATACTCCTTGATAGTTTTATATATTATCAATAACTTCTTAATAAAATTCTTGATTTTTATATAGACTAATTTGCTAAGCCATTTTTTATAATTGACTTAAGGTTGTTTGTCCAATTTAATACTATGTTAACTTTAGATTTTTAAAATTTTAAATTGTTTTTTGAATCTAAACTTCGATTTCCTTCTCTAATGATTTTATATTTTATAATAATTCTTCTGTCTTTTTGTATAATTTATTTTTTAGTTTTTCTAAAGTTTTAACTTCTTGATCAAGTAAACGATCAATTTATGAATTTTATTATGTGGCCATTCTATTATATATTTCTAATCCCGTTACTATACTAATTGGTCGAATTAAACCACATTCGTCACATGCTACTCTATCACCTATTTTAACATTTAAGTCAATATTTAGAAAGTTAACAACTTTTGAATGAAAAGGACACAGAATATTTATAGAGCTCATTTAAAAATGTGATAAATTTTTTATATTCAAATAAGTATTATGTAATTACAATAAAAAAACTAATTAATCGTATAAAGTCTATGAAATACCTACTTATATAATTATCTACCAAATGTATATTAGATTAATCTAAATATATCTAAAAATTAAAAAATGATTATTAAACAATATATCAAATATAGATCATTATTGTAAATTAAAAACTAATTAATATTTAAAAGATAATATAGAATTAATAGACCATTCATATATAATGTAACATTGTAAATTACAATTTTACTAAAATTTATTTTTATGTTAAAATTACATTATTTCTTAAATATATTTAAATCAACCACCACTCATGATTAACTTAAAAAAAGTAATATTTTATATAATTTTAGGTATTAATATTAATAATTTTTAGAATAATTATTATACATTTTCATTAATCAATTCAAGCTTTAAGTTATTCTTTCTATAATTATAATAATAATAAATAGATACAAATCCTGGGAATGTGTAATTTATTCCTAATTCTTTAAGTTTTAATCTCTTCTCTTCTTCATTTGCTAATAATTTTTATAGTTCTTTTACTATTTATTCATTAGATTTTTCCTAATTTGAATTATATATATATATAATACTTTATTTGATTCTTCAACAGCTTTTTCAGACCAATTAATAAAAAACAATTTTTAATTTCCATGTTTATATTTGAAAGGGTCTGGATGTTATTCACTTAATACATTTACAGTTAATTTCTTTCCATTCATTAAATAACCATTCATAGCTTATGCTGCAATAGGTGCTACTTCTTTATCAGCAAATTTAACAAATCCATAACCTTAAACTCTATTTGTCTATATATAAATTTAATTAATTACTTTTTTGCTTCTAAATAATTTGACTCCTAGAACATCTCCAAATTATGTAAAGTATTCTTTTAATCCTTCTTCAACAAAACCATATGGTAAATGTCCAACATAAATAATACCATTTTATCTTTCTTATGGTTATTATTCTAATCTATTTAGTTTAGTTTTTATTTTTTATTCTTTATTTGAAGATTCTTGACTTTATTTCTCAACAATCTTTTATGTTTTGCCAATAACCTTCTAGGTTTTTTTTGTGCTCATAATTAAATTATATTAAATTATTTTAATTTATAAACAAATTTAATAAATTCTCAATCAAATACAACCTTAGGTATTTCAATTTCTTCATCTTCATTCACAATAACATTTTATTGTAAAGTAACAATTTATTAATTTTGTTATTCTCCTTTTGCATTATCAGTATTTGAATGATTTACAATTGAATAAAACATTTCATCTTCTGTTTATTTCTATTATTTTGAACTACTCTCTTCTTCACCAATAAAACTCTTTGTCTTTCTAATTTAAGCAGCTATTTATTGAAGATTATTATTATTATTATTATTAGTATTTCCATTACTAGCATTCATTGATTAATCCATTTAATTATCTTTACAGGAATAATATTGTTCTTCTGAATTAACAGATTAGAATATCTATTAAGCCTTAGAAAATTAATCATTTATTGATTTCTATTTAATATAATATTAATAATATTACAATTGTTGATACATAATTATCAATTGATAAAGTTTTTCTTCTTTAATAAACAAAATTTATTAATTCCATTATACCAGATGTTGCTTCCTATAAATCTAAATCAATTTCATAGACATCTGATTAAAGCAAAAATAAAATGAAATATTTAATTGGTTAAATCAAACATAATTCTAATTCATTATAATTTTGTAACACTACTTTACATAATCTTAATAAGGATGAAATTACTTCAATACCACAATAATTTAATAAAATATCATGTGGAAATGAGAAAATAATAAATAATAATTAATATAATCTTTTTGTTAAATCCAATGAATGTCCTTATCTTAAATTATTTACTATTAACTTTGATAATGATGTAAATTAATTTTCAAATCTTTATTTTAATATTTTTAAACTTGTTTTATTAAGTTAATCTTATGGTAAAAATCCCAATTATATATCTTTAATTACCTTTTATTTTTTTTTATTATCAACTGGTTAATATATTTAATGTCTTTCCCTCTTCATATAATTACTCATATTTTTCATATATTTGGGAAATTCAAGTTCAAGTTATTCAAGTATTCTTGAAATCACTTCTAATTCTATTCTTGTTGTTAAGAATTCTAAATTCATATTATAAATAATTACTTTATTAAGACATAGATTCACATACTTATGATAGTTATTTAATTATTGAAGTATTTACTGAAAATGATGATTATGTAAATTTAAATAAAATTTAAAGAATAGATGTATTCATTATTAAACCTTTACTAAAACTAGACAATATTAGTGTATGTAATAAAGATAATGAAATTGATTTACTAAAATAATTTAATTCTTTAAAGGATTCAATACTTAGAGTGATTCCTCTATCTATCATTAATTTATTAAGTTTATTTTATAATTGTTACATTATACTTTGATTTAATTATGTTTCATATACTACATCTAAATGATCATTAAAGGAATAATTGAGTTATAATATTTCTCCTATTTTCTATATAGCACTTTCAATCTAAATATCAATTAATATGTCTTCTTTGATAAATTATAATTGTTATAATAGAAGGAGAGATAGGAAATTCAAGGTTTCTTTAAAATTAATAGAAAAATTATCATTTGAAATTAAGAATTCTTTAATTATTTGAAAGATAATTGAATATTTAGTCTTTTGATTTTTACCTTCAATCTATTTAAGAATATATATATTACATTTAGAAGATTCATTTTAATTTCCTCTGTAGATAGATTAGTTTACCAATTATTTTGTAATACTAATTTTTCTTTTTCTAAATCAATTAAGGTAGACACAACATAATATGCATCAAAGATTTATTCAATTGTATTTACAATTTGAGATTGATAGGAATTATTTCCTTATTTACCTTCTAAATATGTAAATTATAGGACAGCATATAATTGAGCTAATTGTGTAGCAATTTATGTTTAAGATCTTCTTTAAATGCATAATTCTTAGATTTATTTTTAATGATTTCTAAAGAGTGTAGGATTCAATAAAACACATTTAATAAGTGATTAAAGCAAATTATGATTCCATTCAATTTAAGATAGATGATGAATATAATTTTTAAATTAATCTTCATAGAGATTAATCATCTTATTTAATTATTATTATTGTTGGACTGACTTTGATTTTTATTTGTAGAGTGAGGACAAATACATATAGTAAAATATATTTTGATGGGCTTTGTCATTGGATTAAAGATTGATGACTGATCCAATTTCTATGAGGATATCATGATTATATTTCTAAAATTGATTAGATGATGTGGACAATTTACCTTAATTACAAGACCTTTGATGATTAATTGTAATATTAGAGATTCTTCTTAGGCATCTAAGTACTTGTCTTTATTGGCAAATATTTTAACACAAATCTATATGAGGATTGGTGTAAGTGTCTCAGGATATAGAATGTATTTGTTGATATCAGATTGAAGTTGCTATTTTTGATTGAATTCTTTTTAACCCTAAATACATGATAATAAAATATTCATAATAATGATTTAAAATCATCCTCTCTGTCCTAAATCTGCTATGGAAAAGTACTATATGGAATAACAATTACCTCAATATTAAACATTACCACCTTAATAAACATAGAAAAAGAATCATTCTTATTATAATGATAATACAAATATTTGGAACAATCAACATCAATCTAGTTCTAATATGAAAGTATTTGCTAAGATCTAAGAATAGAAATTGAAAGGTGAAAAACGCATTTAATAATTATAAAAACAAGAATAGAAAGATAAATAATTATATTAAATGAGCAAACACATCTATTTCAATTAATTAAGACATGAAGATTAAATGAGAATGTAAACACGTAAATTAGAACGTGCTGGTCTCTAAAATCTTAGTCAATAATAATCAGATATTGAAGCAGATCAATTACTTTTAAAACCTACTTAATATAATACAACATTATAAGGAAGACCTGAATTCTTTTGGAATAAAGTAGGTCACCATTCTCAAAAACATATTAAAATGTTAATCAATCCTAAAATCTTAGCTATGGAAGAAGAGGCTGTTAAATTAATTCAAAAACGTATTGAAAAAGAACATATTGTTGAATAAATTAAAAAAGACTTAAAATAAGAAAATATGAAACTTATACGTAAACTCAATGCAAAAAGATAATAAGAAGTTGATGAAATTCATTATAAAGCAGGTTTATCACCATCTCATAAAATGGGAATCTCTAAAACTACTCATCTTAGAAGACCATCAAATGCATCTCGACCTTCTATTGATATTATAGAATAAACACTATAATAAATTGAAGATAAACAATAAAGAACAAGTCGTCCATTTACTGTAGATAGTGATAAACCATCTTTTTCATTTCATGTAAGACCTCAAACTAGTAATTAGAATAGTCAATCAATTAAAAATACAAATACTATAACTAAGTAAATGTTATAAGCATAACAAGATAGTAATCACTTAGTGTCCATAAAAAACATACTCTTAGGATGGATAGATCTGAATTTAAGGGATTGTATTTAGCATAGGCATGTGATGTGAGTGACAACAATTTTAGTAGAACTATACGATCAAATTGCACTATTCTAAAAGGAATCTCGAATTAAAAGATTAAAGCATAATAAATACCTCAAAATAATAAAACAAATAATCAACCTGAAGAAGATATAAATAAAATTTTAGATTCATTTGAATGCAAATTGTAAGATAAAAAACTCTAATATTGAAATTATAAATATATATATATATATATTTTTAATCATTTGATATCTTCTTCTTCAACAATTTATTTTACAGGAGGTACAAAACTAGATGTAATTGTCTAAAATCTTCCATCACTAAAATTGTTAGTTTCCAACATTTTCTAAGATAAATGAGTAATGCCTATTCTGGTTTGAGTATGTTAATTCTATTTTGTATATATTTACAATACTATATTACTTGCATATAGGATGGTAATATAGATCTATGATCATGTTCTCTATCAATCATTTTTCCAAAATTAGGAGCAGTAGGCACTCTAAATATTTAACTCTTTTAAGATCTAGAATATATATCAAACTCAAAATATTCTTCAAAAGTATAATCTGATTTTTTAGTCATTATATCATCTCTACCCTTTTTTGAATCAAATTTTGGTCCAGCTGATCCTAATTTTCTATTTAATTCTTATAAAATTTATACCTCCTTCCAAATTCAAAATTAGGTTCATAATCTGGAGCATAATGTTTTCGTTTATAAACTGTCATCTATTCTCTAGACATTGATTTATTCATAGAATATTATGGAGTTCTTGGAACCTTACTAAATTGGGTAGTTATATTAAGAAAATTGAATCTCTCTTCATGTGGTGTTGGTTAACCAAAAAATACTTCCTTTCTAAATATTATGTATATTCTAACCTTCCAGTTTATCTTGACATATCAACAAAACAATCTCTTTTCCATACTTACTTTTCAGGTATAGGTTCTTTATTTCCAAAATTAATAGCACTCTATACTCTTTTAGTAGTTTATCTTGGTGTAGTTTTTATAAGACTTTTTTGATAATCAGGAACTATATGAGTAGCTCTATAAATAATAGATTTAAATGATATGTACTTTTCTAATTGATTGAATTTTGGATTATAATAGCCACAAGGTGGTTAACCATCGCATCCAATTTTTGTGTAATTTCCAACTGCTCTAGATAATTACTTTGTAAAGGGTTATTGAGTTTTTAAGACTTATTGATTATTTGGAGTTAGTTGTTTCTCTTGTGTTTCAGGTATTGGGATTTCAAAGAGTTAACTTTTCACTCGTTTACCCATTTTACGATTGAGAATCTCATCTTTACGAGCAAAGATTATATATTTCTCACTAGTGATTTTACCAGCTTTAGAGAACATATTTTGAGGGTCATTGGGATTTATAATTAAGGCCATGAAGATATTAATTAAAATATGTAGCAAATAGAGGATCAATACGTGCCAAATGATGAAGAATATGAGTAAAAAGATTAAACAACTAATACTCGTTTTGGTAAGTTTGTGAAAGAGTAATGGGAGAAAATAGAGAAGAAGAATTTTAGCTAATTTGAGACAAGAGTATTGTCAACTCTATAATTATTGGGTAATTAAAGTGCAGAGGATTTGATTGATAAATAAGTAGTTGCAGAAGTTGTATAGAAAGATAATAGCAAATAAAAGGGTGGTAAACAAAAGAAACCAGAATAAATACAACCATAATAAGAAGTTTAGAAATCTAATGTTATATATGAAATATGTGTGGGTTAAGAACTTTATTTAAAGTATCTAAGACCTAAATTGGTGGAGTATGGTATATTGAGTAAGATTGATGATGGCAATCCTAAATAAGAAGATAAGAAATAAGCATAAGGTAAAAAGGGTGGTAAGAATACAGTAAAGAAGGAAGATTTAATGCGTATTGAATTGTCAAAGGATAAAGTTAATGATTAAACCATGAAAATGTTATAATAGATGGGATTGATCATTTTAAATTAGGAATTAAAACCTAAAGAAAATGAATTTCTTAAAACTGAATAAGCAAGTAAACGTATCAAATCCTTGAAATGGATGGAACTCAAATTCTCAGCTTTGATGATATATGCAACTTAATTAATTAAATGTCATATCCATTCTAAATTTAGAGATGAGTATGCATTTGAATTAATTTACTTTCTAAAGAATGTCTATCTCAATTATAAAGAATATGAAGGTTAATCTTATTTGGATGAAACAAAAAAAGAAAGATTAGCACCTCAAGCTATTGAAGATCTCAGATATAAACTTAAAGAACTCTATAAAAATTTTGGTTTCTCAAATAGAGTCTTATTTAATAAATATCCAAAATTAGTTATTGATACAGATTTAAATTAAGCATTCATTAGAACAGATGTTCGTCCATATAAATCATAAGAAAACCTTTTAGAAATTTTAAAGAAAATAGAAAAACCTTCTTTGATCTTTTTCAGTACTATGGTTGGTACAGGTAAAACTGTGTTAAGTGTTGCTATTGCATAATACTTGGCACGTTTAAGAGAAAGTTATGCAAATCAAGAAAACAATGCTTATAATTAATTAAAGAATCTTGGTTATAGAAATCCTAGAGAAGTCTAGTTTTTATATTGTTGTCCTTTGGATACAGTTAGAACTTAAGTAGGTGCTGCTGCATATGAGAGAAAATTAAAATTTGCTATTGCATCAATGTGGAAAGATTCTTAGAGTTCTAAATTAGATTCTGAATTGGGATATGCAGAATGTCCAAGATTAGTCAATTCTTGGTAAAATAGATAGGAGGAATTTCCAACTTTGGTAGTGGCTGACTTTAAAACTACTTTGGAATTATTGAAAGAAAAACATACTTTATCAGAAAAGGAGAAATAAGTAGTTAGATGGTAAGGTAAAGATCGTAAATTGGTATCAAATAATCCAGCTAAACATGGAAAAGATTATATATTATTTATTGATGAACCTACAGTTGATGCTGATTTTGCAGATGCAGAAGTAACTAAAATATTGATAGACATTATACGTCGAGCTCCACCTATTACTATATTATCTAGTGCTACTTTACCACCACCTGAGAAAATACCAAATTTCATCAAATTATACAGAAAGGCTTAAGTTTCTGATATTGATATTCCTGTAGTTCATGATTCTCAATTCCATATTGGTTGTTAGGTCTTTTCTCATAGTGGTCATAAATTCTTACCACATTATTAGGCATAGAATAAACAATAATTAGCTGAAATTTTGGATAGATTAGAGAAGAATCCATTTATGAAGAGATGTTATAATGCAAATGCTTATTGTGAATTATATGATAGAATGAAATCATGTGGAATTGTTAATATTGAAGACTTTGAAACATTTGATATTATTACATAAGAATTTGTATAAAGAAAAAGCATTGAATTATTAAAGATATTATTAACAGTTGATGATGAGATATTTAAGAAGGTTTGTTCAGAAAAATAGGATGTTGTATAATAATAATAAGTTGGAGGAGAGGAATAATAATAATAAGAAGGAGGAGAAGAATAATAATAATAAGAAGAAGGAGAGGAAGGAGAATATGAGTATGAATATGAATACGTATATGAAGAAGTTGAAGATACAGGTGCAAATAATTAGACAGAAGACAATACATAATTATAATAATAATAATAATAGAAACCAAAATCTAAATATATTTATACAATTGAAATTGATGATGAAGATAAAATGAAATTTACTGCACCATATCATAAATTAGATATTAGATAATTAGGTGGAAATATGGCTCATAAATTCTTAGGAGGTTGTTTAATTGCTGTAAATAAACCAGTAGAATTCATTAGAGCTAAATTCCATAAATTACTTAAGAAATGTGCTCCTGCTTCAGAATATGTGAAATAATATCTAAAATAACATGAATATTTAGAGAAAGAAATATAAAAGAAAGAAAGGGAAATAGATAATGAGGATGAGAGATCCAAATAAATTTAAGCATTATAAGAAAGCATGAAATTGACTATTGCATTTCCTGATTTCTTGAAAATAAATACATTGGAACATTACAAAGTAAATAAATAAAATATATATTTAGAAATTTGTTACTAATGATCCTCTGTATTTAGAATAATATAGAGCCAGAAAAGCATTCTCATTAGAGGGAATTAATTATTAACTTAATATTCCTGATGATATTATGTTGTATCTCTTCTCTGGTATTGCAGCCTATACAGAAAAGGTATATACTAATTTTTATTTAGTAATCTGAATTGGATATTGATTATTATGAAGAAGTTTAAAAGTTGGCATCAAATGGTTAATTAGCTTTAATTATTTCTGATGATTCTATGTGTTATGGTGTCAATTATCCATTGAATCATGTTATTGTATTTGATGAGATGGCTGAAAAACGATCTATTGGAGCATTGTTTTAATTGATTGGAAGAGCTGGTATTGATAGTGAATTTACACTTAAATAGGTCGTGTTGGTGTTTCATGGACAGCTAACGCATATTTGGGTGATAAGACATTTGATAGATTGATTAAGTATTTGAATGGTTAGAATGAAGAGACTGAAAAGGATGAAGCTTATAATATTGAATAGTAAAGTAAAAGAATGATTTAACATTTGATTGAATTGGCAAAAAAGAAAAAGGAATAGTAATCGTAATGAACATATATATTAATACAATTAAAAAATGATTTCCAAAAATCAAATCGACCAAGTGTATGACTTTCTTAAGAGTATCAATGATGGCACTTTAGAGAGTTATAGAAAGTCACTTCCAGAGCAATGGATTCTAAACTAAGTCATTGATTTAACATGTTTGACTCCATCACAACGAATAGTGTGTCTATACTATGCAGGAGAAGAAACTCAATGTGGAAATGCTTTAGAAAAGAGATTAGTATTGAATAAGGAATAGGTTTCGCTATATAACTTAATTTAGAGTGCGGGTAATGTAATTTGAGATAACTTGTTGATGAATGGAGTACCTCAAACCAGTAAAATACTCATCAACCCTAAAGTATGAGAGCCATCATTCAATGTCCTTCATTAAAACATGCTCTTGAACACATCCTCACTACTTTTTCGATTGACTATCTACGACCTGTTCCTACAACAATTTAATCTTAATTTAATTGGATCACTCTTCAAATCACTGATCCACTTTGGGATTATACCATTGAAGTAAGCCAAGAGCCATTAGTCAGAATAAAGGAGAATCTCCTTAAAGCACAATAATCCAAATTGTCATAGAGGGAAGCATAAGAAACCATAGATCTTCTTAATCAGGATTAGAGACATGTATTAGATAGTGGAATTACACCTAATTAACTTCCAAATCTTATTGAATACAATCCTGATCTATCTAGCTTTCTATTGGCTCGTATTAATCAATGTGGAATAAGTATCCATGAATATTTCGAATGTTTGATTTAAATGAAGATTTCACTTTAGAGTTTAGAAGTTGTCAATAAGCTTTCCAATTCTATTAAATTACCTGAAGCCTTTCTTCATATGTATTTGACTAAGTGCATCTAATATTGTGAAGAATTGCAAGTAAAACATTTATTCTAAACAATAGCCAAAGTAATAGATGGTGTCTAGATATGTGAGATTAGTAGCTGTCTTTATTAAAACACTCATCAAATCAAAAACCTTAGATCCAAAAAAAATGTTCACTGAAATACAAGGATTCTGCATCGAGTTTTCAAAGATACCTGAAGCTTCATAGCTATTCAAATAACTCAAAGAGACAGGTGTAGAAGAAAAATAGCATCAGTGATATTGATTGAATTATGAGATATTGTGAATTATCTCATTCTAATCCTTTTTTTTCTGTTTATTCTACTTATGTTTCTCTCAAATTCCATCCATATCATGTCTAATCTATTATTATTTTAGTTCTTAATATTTAAATAAATAAATAAATATATATAATTAAAAAAATTGCTTATCATTTAGATCTATAATCTTAAGACTTGATTATATCTTATATCACTAGTTAATTCATTTATATTATTCATCAAATAAGGATGAATTAAAGGTATAATATTCTTATCCTTTTATATTCAAATTTATATTTTAAAGCAATAACAAGTTTCTTAAACTCATCAATATGTCTCTATAATTCTAGTAATATATATAAATACAATTATATTAGTGTAGATTGGTTATGTATTCACATTTATATTTTTATCCATTTTTTATCCATAAAAAGATATTTACATTCCTTATTTTTATGAAAACTCTATCAATACCTTATTATCTGTATTATATTACTACTATTTAATTTATCTATTTTAAATTAAATTTAAAACTAAGTATAAGTTATCTAATTAAAAAAAAACTAATATAAATTTATTAATCAAGCAATATTAAACTCAAAATCACTTTATTCCCATAATTGTATTAGATTTAATATTAAATTGATAGATCCATCATCTTTATTTTTTAATATTGTTGCTTGATTATTTAGAATTTCCACAAAATCATAGGTATCCACTTTCTAAAGAATTACTAATTTAAATTATGGTGGTAATTTTTAAAATTATGTGAATAACTCAGCTATCAACTTTGTCAAATAAATACATGAAAGCAACCTTTTATGATTATAATAATTACATATCACTTATGTATTGTAAACAATCAAGATTAATGAATATTTCATTTAAATGATAATCAGATAATTGTTGATGATTAATTAGATTTTACAATAGATACAAGTATTCTATACAGATTTCTTATTTCACTATAGAGTATTAATTTAAGTAATTGTGTAGGAAGGGTATGAAAACTGTGATTGTTCTTTCTACAATAAAAGCATGTGGATAGTATAGAATATTGTTAAAACATTTAAATATTTTTTCTATTATGACTTCATCTCCTTAATTTTATAAGGAATTGACCATAGATTCTATTAAACCAATATCAATCAAATATTAAAGAATGTAATGATCATCATCTTTTTCAGCAAGGAAATTAGTGAATATTGAAAAGAATTTACTTGGAAATAGATTTAATTTTAAGATCTTCTCCCAAACAAACTTAGTTAAAGTTAAGGTCAAAGCAATTGTAATTTTAAATTCTGATAATTTTTACAAGATTTCCAAAACTCTTTTATAGAGACTCTCATCTTCCATTTAAACTTTATCAATTAAAAATGTACATTATGATATAATACAATTAAACTTATTATTAAATGAAATCATACATTATAATGAGGAATATCTATGAGATCGATTTCATTAGATTCAAATAATTTACACTCTAATAATAGAATGGCTTTCCATGTTTTAGTGATTGGATTTTTTGGATAAAACTTAGACCAAACTCTAAATAATTGTGATTTAAGTATTTCTTCTCTAAATAACAAAACATTTCGATTATCCAATTCAAATTAGATATTTATCAATATAAGACAAATCTGTAAAATTCATAGTTAAGATTGATTACACTCTCAAGAATCTCACACCATCTATCAAAATGAATCTGAATCTTGTCAGGTTATACCATTCTATCTATTAAATTCTTCAATAGTATATTGATCAAATCATTTTACAACAAATTCTCAACAATATCTTTCCTATCCAAATATGTAATATTAATCAAGATTACCAATACATGATTTATACACATCAATCTATCTGATGTTAAATTAAATTCTATAGGAATATCACTCATCCTAATAATATCAAAGAATAATTTTAAACCATTCAAATTTGCACTACTAAAATGATTGATAAATTAATTCAAAACAACTTAATCATTTATGTTGTCATCCTCCAATAATTTTAAATAATTCATATTATATTATTTTAACAATTTAGCTAAATGTTTGAAATCCTACTCCAAATAAGTTTGATATATAAAATTAATTGTCTCATCAGGATTACATTTTTACAACATATCCCCATCTAGTATGATGCTAGTATGTCTTTTTTTAGAGAAGATCTCTTCTCTAGCTTATTTTCTAATCTGAACCATAAATTATTCTCTCTTCATTTACAAATGTGAATTCATCATATAAATATTAATAAGACATATTAAAATGTATATAAAAATGAATGATGTAAAGAGAAAGATGTATGACTAAAATCCTAATAAAATTATATATATAAAGAAAAGGATTACAATATTGTCACCACAAGATGCTACAGAAGTCAAATTATTTAGGGAGGAGAATTATAATATAATAATTGGAGAAAGAATATTGAAAATAGTCCTCTTGATTTGAGTATGGGTTATTAAAGTTTACGTAATACTCAATGTAGTTATTGTACTTTGTTGAATGGTTATCCAAGACATTTTGGTTATATTCCATTATAATTGCCAATTTATTATTTGAGTTTTTTACTCATGTTGTAAATTGTTTGAAATGTTTGTGTTATGTATGTGATTATAAAGAAGTCTTTAAAAATGTTGCTAAGTAAGATTGACATTAAAAGAGACAAATATATTAATATAAGCAATGTTACATTGTGTTTAAAAACACCATCTTATAACATATAATTAAAGATTTTCAAGAAGGTTCTAAAGGAATATTGATCAAATCAATAATATCCTCATTGCCTTTTTTGAATAGATTGGGAATGCAAAGAAATTAAGTAAAGTTGATGCAAGTATGATTCTATTAGAAAATATGGATATTAATGCATTTTATGCTTGGAATCTAAAAACAGCATTATATCTTGCTTTGTATTAATTAAATGAGTAATTTGATCTACTCATTTCAATTATACCTGCTCCTCAAGCAAAATGCTAAGTAAAACAATAAATGCAGATATAGGATGAATTAAAAATGAATTTGAAAATTATACTTTATCATAATGATTTGGAATAGAAATAAACAAAGGAAGGGAAGGATGGAATTTCAATTCTAAAAATAAAATTGTTAACATAAACACATTATTTTCATTATTTCAATAGAGAAACACTTTGTTTACCACAATTCTCAAGCCAAGATGAAAAGGTCGATTATGCAATTTATCAAAGACTTAAAGGTAAGAGAGGAAGACTAAGAGGTAGTTTATCTTGTAAAAGAGCAGAAATTACAGCACGTTCAATAATCTCACCAGATCTTAATTTAGGATGAACATTTAGAAGATGAGATATTAAGTATAAAATGGACTATCTATATATACATATACCAAATTAATTAACTTAGGAGGAGTCAATTATAATTTATAATTTGTAAGAAGAGCTCATTTAAATTATAAATAATAAATTAGAGATATAGTAGATAGACATTAGATATTAGATTTACATAGTTTGATATTTTGTATCTACTAAATATGTGTGTGATTTGACTTTAAAAGAATTGAAATTACCACTTGATGATGATAAATATTAAAAGAATTACAATCAGTAATAATCATAAGAAGAAACAATCAGAAAATTATTATGTTTGATCATAGAATTATAACGTAGACTATTGGATTTACATGTATATGGTTGTGCAAACATTAAATAAACAATTATCTAAGTTACAGATAAGGATGATAAGGAAATACAAAAGGTGAAATCAGATCCTGCATCAGTTATTGGGTTAAAAGATGTTTTATGATTAGATAATATTAATTGGAAAAGAAGAGTCAGTAAATAGATAATGGAAATTGAGAATCCTTTAGGTATAAAAACTGGTAGATAGAGTATTATTAATGAAGTTTATACACCAATGTAAAGTCATAGTATCTCAATTGATTGTTGTCTGAATTTAATGGTATATATTATATTTTGAGTCAATTAAGGTAGAATACTTGGATTTATAAGATAAGGGATAGAATAATTAAGGTATTCAATTTTAATGGTTGTATACTTCAACAAAACCATGGATGTCTTTATATTACTTATTTATAAGATAAGTAAGATTCAATGATTTGTGGATCTCAAAGAGTAATCATTGATTAGAATATACATTAAGGAACAGGAATGTTTGATTTGATATTGCCTGTTATAGATAATATAATTTTAGAAAGTGAACTTAAACAATAGAAGTTTAAGTTTGCTCTAAAATGATGAATTATGACATCATATTTATGAATATCATATTATTCACAGTCTTATTTTTTGTTAGAGCAGATCACATACCAGAATTCAAAGCTGCCCTGGATTTCAACCAAATTAATAGCTTCAAACAACACATACTAAAACCAATCATAACCCTTATCTAAGGTGCTCATCTCCCACTTGATATACAAATGAAACAATCATTCCCCCTTATAGGTAATGTGGAACTAGAAATCAATGAAGTCTATTTATAAGAACTTACTCTTAATTGGGATGATACATTTATCATGCCTTATCAAAATAAAGAGGATTCCATAATCTTATAATTAAGATAAACAAATATCACAATTGAAGCTTTCACTAGATTAGTTTTTGGAGGATGGTAAGTTTTAAATACAGGTACAGTATTTAAGTTATAGAATTTGGATTTTAGTTTAGTCATTTAATTTGATCCAACTACTTCTAAAAGATCATGGGTAATATAAACTTAAATATTTTAAGGGTTTCAAACCAATAATCAAATATGTCGATATTGCCTTAACACGTATGTAATTCATTATGGATAATGTTATCATACCTCCTTAAGCTGGAATCAATGCCTTTGTAGATCTTCTTACTCCAATGATTATCAAATAAACAAAGAAGATGATTCTATAAGTTGCTTCACCAGCATTAGGAGTATTATCATAAAATCAAAGATTACAAATAGCTTAACAACTTGGTGATTACATGTATTAATTCTAAATCACTTTTACTCAACCACCTTCTGTTATTTATGGATAAACTACTTTTATGAGTCTTCAATTAGATATCTAAATAGAAAATGTTGACACTGGCAATGGATGTCCTATCTTTGATACTGGTAGCCTACCAAATAGAGTACATTCTCATCAAGCATTAGAACTAATCCTTGGTGGTAACATTATTGATTAATTACTTTGGTTATTAATTGATAGCAAAAAATTAGATCTAACAATAGATAATTCTATGTTAGAAAACATTGATTTACCAATTTCATTAACTACTAATGGAATGAAACTTATTATACCTGATTTTTATGAAGCATATGGACCAGATAAAGGAATCTATATACGTATTTATGGATAAACAGCTGAATAATAAATGTATATTAGAAGTGGTAGATTACTTGGTGCAATGACTGTTATGATGGATTTCATAGTTGATACTAATTCAAGTAATTACCCAAATAATAAATCTGATTGTGAATCTTGTGTAATTGCTTATACTGCTGAAGTAGAATTAGGTGTAATGGTCACAATATTTAATAAATCACCATAACTCTTTGCAGCTTCAGTTATGCTTGTCAAGATTATTGATATTGATTAGACATCAGGTGAACTCTTGACAGTCCAATAATTAAGCATTATGCAAACACTAAATTCTCTTGTTGGTGCTCTACTTCCTACAATCAATTAGGATTTATAAAAAGGAATTCAAAATCCCTTTATTGGATTTTTTGGTCTAAAAGAAATTGATATCACTATGGGTGATAGTTTCATATCTTTAGGAGTAGTACTTAATGAATGATGAAATAAATAACATATACATAATAATCATTTTACAATTCTTATTAATATTTTATGACTACAATCTTTGTTTACAATAATACTATTCTATATTCTAAATTATTTATAATATCTTTATCCAAATTATCAAAACTTCTTCATCTCTAAAATAAATCTTCTAAATGATATTCTTAATACTAAATCTATAATTTTTTATTAGTTATCATCAATAAAATACTTATTTTTGATTGGTAATATTTTAAATTTTACATCTTAATTTTGTTTATTTTATTAACAATAATGACTAAATTATATAAAGACACAGAAAAATTTATTAATTTTTAATTAACATACTTATTTATCACATAATTATTACTTTATGGGGACTAGAAATATATATATATCTTATGATGATCATTATATTTCTTATGGTTGTTGAAACGAATATTTTTTAAATGAAATGAGATTACTTCTAAATATCCAAGTAGAATCTCAAGGTTTTTATAAATATGCAATTAAATATAGACAAACAAATTAGAATCACATCACATTTAAAATAATTGAGAGTTATTAATTACTAAAAATATTAATTGTTAAAATATCTCATTCTTATCCAATTCCAATAATTTATTTATCAATTTTAATAGTATATATTTACCTGTAATAAGAAATACAAACACCTTTTAGAACTCTGTTAATCCATTCCTATTGGTTCTTTTTCTTATACTACAACAATAAAATAGTTTTATATTCTTTAATATCATCAAATCTAATTCTCTTAATCTAAATGAAAAGATATGCAAATTTATACACCAATGAATTATACTCCGCATCTTTTTATAATTACTCTCATTCATTCATAATTGTATGAGACATACTATATACAACAATTCAAATTGACAAATACTATTTTCTCTAATAGAAAGCTTTTACAAATGTCGGATACATTAATTTATCATTCAATTTTGTAAAATATAATTTTAATTATTAGATTAAATTAATCTAAAAAATAAATTAAAATATTTGAAAAAGTACATTATTAATTACAAATAAAAATAATGGCTTAAATCAAGTGGGGCTTTGAATTTAGTTGAAAAGTCATTGATAATTTTAAGGTATCACATTACTTTTTTAAATAAATTTATTATTATTTATATGTTTATTATTGATGAATATTATAAAAGAAATAAAATAAATGATAGTTGTAATTACAATAATCACTCTTAATATTACTATAATTTATCATGTATTTCTCTTTAGACAATTTCTAATGTAGTTTTATCTAATTCTTTTAGAAGAGATAATATTGCACATAAGATGTTTGAGTTTCTTTCTTCATCTGCATATTCTTATCTAATTACTTATCTTTAGTATTATGGCTACGATTGTAGGAATAGTTGTTATTATTACTATTACTAAATTGATGATTAATATTGTTGTAAATATTATTGTTATTATTATTGTTGTTCTCTTTCTCTAGATACTTATTATTATTGTTATGGATATAATTGTTACTGTTATTGTGGTTAATTATATGGTTGCATTTATGATAAGGATTATCGTTATTGATTTGTTTATTATTCTCGTTAATTTGAATATCTTCCTCCTCCATTATTTGGAGAATATTGATTTGGTTTAATAACTTCAACATATTGTGACATTTCTTCCTCTACTTTTGATATCTTTGTAGGTGGACTTTATGAAATTCCATATTACAATTATTATTATGCATTTGCTCTATCTTATTGATTAATAACAACATCATCCAATTTTTCAAGTGTTTAAGAATTGCATATTACGGCATCTCTATAATTTGGATGGTCAGCAATTGGATTTTCTCATATATTATTAAATAATACCTTAAAGCCATAAGACTTTCAATTTAGGTAATTGTTATAGGAATTGCAATTCTGTAATATTAGAAATATTATTCTTTCTCAAATATAGTTCCTTAATATTCTTACATTTTGCAATATCAGCTAAAGTAGTAATCCTATTAACTGATAATGAAAGAACTTCAAGATTAGGTAGTCTTTCAATGATTGAAATATCATCAAGATCATTACCCCATAAATTGAGTGATTTGATACTGTACAAAGCTTCAGTCTTTGCTTTTTAAGCAATTAATGTTTAAGTTAAAGGTTTAGACATATTATATGATAGTTATATTAATAAATTAATAATCAATTTTATAGTTCACCAATGATTTCTTCTAAAGATATTACTTAATTTTAGTTAAAAATTTACAAAAATTAAGTAACTTTATCTTAAATATCTTAATCTAATTTCATTTATTATTTAGTTTATTCAATTAATACAAATAATGCATAAATGTCATTTTCATATTTATATTTCATTGATTGATTAATATCAGGATCAATTTTTTAACAATTAAGTTCATATAATTTATTTTAATCAATTTTAAGATTTTATGAATATTCAAAACAATTCAATATTATTTTGTCATCCTTTATATATATTTTTTCTAATGATATATATAATAAGCATATTGAATATTAATGAATTTATTTTAGTATTTCAATAATCCTTAAGTAAAAGGGAATCTATAAGATCATATTAGTTTATAATATGTTTTATGCATCTTCAACCCAAAAATTAAAAGTAATCCACACTTTATCTTAATGAATTTAATTAAAATTTATTTAGAAATCAAGAAGTTTCAGTACAAATTCATGTTAATTTAAACTTGCCCAATTTATAAAGTATTTCATTCTTTATATAATTTATGGAAAACTTTAAGTTGAAGTCTTAGAAGAAAGTATTATATAATTTTAAAGAACTTTATTTTCTAATGTTGTTGTTTAAAAACTATTTGTATACTTAATAAATAATTTCATTACTTTTATATAAGGATAAATTGTGTTTATTTTTCTTTCATTTTATAAATATTCAATATGATCAAAAAGTATTTCAATTAATTATTTAACTTAAGGATTGATTATCTAATATTAATACATAAATAATCTCTTAATAACGTATATAAATGAAATTCTATTAGCTATTGGTTATGTACAATCTATAATTAAATCTTATATGAGATTATTTTTAATATTTTATATCATAACTTTATGATGTTCTTAAAAGTATTTAATTCTCCCTAAAATAAGATAGTCTTAAATCCCTTCATATGGAATGCAACCAGAAAAATACTAAAATAATGTAACTCCAAATGAGTACACATCATTCTTTCTACTTTAAAAATTAGAGTATCCTAATTCAGGATCAACATATTTATATGTCATTTATTTTATTCCACTACTAAGATTTTAAGATCTATGAGAATACTTTGACAATCCAAAATCAACTATAATAGGATTTTTTTTTTTTTTATCAACTAAAACATTATCAGGTTTCAAATCCAAATGAAGTAATTTTCTCTCTAATTATAAAGTAGTAAGTCCTAATGATAATTTATAAACATATTTTATTTTATCAATTTCATTCCAATTTATCATCTCTTAATAATTATTATATATTTTTGTGATTAATATAATTTAGAAACTTCTTAATTACCCTTATATGTTAGAAAAGAGTCCTAAATGTTCAATTCCTAAACAATATTTAGTTTTTGAAATAGTGATATCACAAACAATGCAGATTTCTAAAAGTTTACTTTCAATATCAGATTTCACATCTTAATTAATGTTATTTTCCATATACTCAAATTAAATCTCTTTCGCAGCAAAAGATTAATCTTAAAAATTGAATTTGTATACTTTACTATTTCCTCCTTAACCTAACTGTTCTACATCATCATTATTATTGAATAATACTTCAGTTTCATATTTTAAAAATTGAGTTTTCTTAACAAATTCATCTAATAGATTTATTAAACAACCATCTTATTCCTATTTTAAATCATTTCTCAACCTATGATAAAATAATCTAATATCTTTTCTTATTGGAAAATTAAAACTTTATTTCAATTAATCCTCCTCTAATAAAAACTCTTACAAATATTATGATACACTTCTAAAAGTTTCGATATCTTATGATTTAGTTTAAACTATCTCTTCAACATCCTCTGATTGTTAATATTTTCCAGTCTCGCGATTTTTAAGTGTTTTCTCTCCTTCTACCTTTGCTATAATTTCTGATAATTGTACTTGTGAATCTGAGCGTTGTAATAAAATTTCTAAATACTTTTAAGATAAAATTTTATATGATCCTTACTTTTGAACTAAATTTAAAAAATAAGTTATTGCATTTTCTTGTGAATTATATTATGATTAACATTTTTCAATTTTACTTCTATTCTCATCATTTAAGATTTTTAATAATATGGCACAACTAATCTCAATATTTGGAATTTTTATATTTTTGTAGATTTTAATAGCATCTTCATATTTACCGCAATACTCTAAGATCTATCCTATCATTTTTTCATTTTTTGTTTGCTTTGCCAATTAATATGCTTCCTCAAAATCATGAATAAAAAAGTATATTTCTGATTTCATTTCCAAATTATATAAAAGATTTTTTTCAAGAAATACTCTTAATAATGGATATAGATTAGGATTAAAATATTATAAAATACAAATGTCTCTTTTTCTAATTAACACATTTATAATAAGAAATTCCTCTATTGCTCTATAATAACTTTTAATTTGTATTAATTTTTCACCTTTTTAATTTGGAGAATTAAAAATGGATTTAAATTTTGCCAAAAAATTATTACTTTTTTATTCAATATCTTATCTTTCCTAACATACTTATTAAGTTTTCTTTAGAATAAAGTCTAATTATGTTTATCCTTCTAAACTCCTAAATATCATTCCCTATTATTGAATAAGTCTAAAGAATTCATATTACAACATATTAAAATATCTTTTTTATGTACTCTAATTAATTAATTTGATAATTGGAGCAATTTTTATCATAATCTCCCTTTTTAAATCTATCTAATTAGTATAGACACTTATCAATAATGAAATAATTAAGCTTTAATGCTTGATTTCTCTATTATTTGGCTAATAATATTCTATATGTTAATTTTCGTATTTTTCTATTAAATTGTTTAATTATTTGAGTTTCCTCTTCGATTCACTAATTTATCCTTACAAAAATTGAATTTTACATATCTTAAATTAGATGTAGATTCTAAATTTCTCTTTATCTTATTGATTGCTTATTAAATATAACAATTTAGCATAAATTTTGAGAGCATATTCCCATTATCTTAATTTAGATAAACATTTCCCAACTAAGAGTAAATTTAAAAAAAGATTCTCTGAAACTTCTGCTATATCCATAAGTTAATTAAATAATTATTCTTACACAGAAGGTCTTTTGGAATAGAAGAAATTTTAAAATTGTTTATGATCTAATTGAATTAAACTAAATATGGCAATCCCTGCTTAAATATTATTAAATCTCTCAGTTAAATACTAATAATTATAATTCTTTTCTATAAATGAGATAGCAACTTTCATTTTTGAATCTTCTATTGATGATTTAATATTTCCCTTATCTCGCTACTATAAAAATTGATATGAATTCATAATAATTTATAATCTTTTTTCGATTTAAAAATCTACAAAGAGATCCTAATTATTAAAAGAACTAATAGCAACATGATAATAATCGTTATAGAACAATAAATTTAATAATTCAAGCAATTTTTTACTGCTAACAATTATATTTACTGTTTCTTCCAAATTAATAGGTTAAATCTATTTGAATTTAGTTTCTAAGTTCATTTAAAATACTTTAAAATATTCCTTATCTGAAATATCATTATTACATGTATTTGTTGCAGCCATTAAAATCATTTTCCAAAAATTTTAATTATCTTGATTTTAACATAAATTTATATCCACTTTTTAACCAATCAGAAAAAGTAAAATCAAAGGAATTACTTAAATTATTTATTAAGTATTCTCTAATTCTTATTCAATTATAGGATATACTAAAATTTTTCCTATTTATTTATTCAATTCAAGTTCAGAATAGTTATAAACTCTAGTAAGTTGATAATACGATTTATCAAATATTACATTATATAAAAAAGTGCTAATTTTTAAACCATTGTTTTTAACCATTTCATTTAATTGATTTTAGATTCCTTATAAATAGTTCTGTTTTATTCTTTCTATCACTTATTAATTATCTAAATACATTTTAATAATTTAATTAATAAAAATAATAGTGTGGAATTTTCATAGAATATATTGACTCAAGATATATGAGATGGAGGTTTCCAAACTGGAGGGTAAAGAAATGATTTAATTTAATTAACAACCTTATTTAATCTAAAAAATTACTTCTTGATTCCAAAGCTTAGAATATTTTGTTGGACTTAATTTTAGTTTATTCATTTTGATAGCCCATAAATTTTACTCCTTTTTTGATAATAAAACTTCTTTATTTCTTTTACTTCTACATTAAACTGATCCATTTGACTTCTTCTAAACATATCCTTTCATTCTCTCTGTATTATTAAAACTGTCATTATTATCCTTCCTTTTAGGAGATCCTGATAATCCAATATTTAAAAAATGTGTAGTATTTCTATTACTTTACTCTTGGAATGAGTTATTTATATTGTATTGTGTAGAATGTTTCTTATTCATATTTAATTTAGGTAAGAATTATTTTTTAGATTCAGTTTATATTCCAATATTTGAACTATGCTATCTGAAAGAATTCTCTAAAGATTAAATTTATAGTCCTTAATCTAAAAGACTCAACAAATCAAATTATTTTTAAAGTATAGGCTACTTTACATTAAATTACATATCATGATGACTAGTATTATGAGATATATTTTGAGTTGCAGTCTCTGCTTTCAAACCAAAAATATCCTTTTAAAATTGATCTCCAATCTCATCCAAATCTGGTTCTTCTGCTATTCTAGATTAAATTTCTTAATTATCTATAACTTCTTTAACTAAATGTTTCTAAGGAAATTCATTCAATGAAACCCTAACCTTATCAAAAGATTATAACTAATTCTATTTCCAATTCCCTTTCAAAATCAACTAATCATACTAATACTCTCCTTCTCCATCCATTAAACCATCTCTCCAATATCCTTTATAAATAGCCTTATCAGTCCATATAATCTATCCATACCCACATCTTTTATCTTCCAAAAAATTCCCTGTATATATTGTTCCATTAGCATATTCAAAAATGCCTTCACCACATTTTTTATCATTTGCATAATATCCTTTGTAACAATTCATTCCATTCTTTGTCTAACTTTACCAAATACCATATCCATTCCTCAATCCATTCTCAAAATCTCCTTCATAATAATTTCCATTACTCCAATAATATTTACCTTTTCCATTAGGCTTACCATTTCTATACTCACCACTGTAACAATCACCATTCTCTAAATACTCCTTACCAATCCCATGTTTCAAATCATTGATTACCTCACCGACATATCTATTAATTATATATTGATATACATGCATCCATTTACATGTAAACAGAATCCTAAACATCTTCCATTCTGCCATTATCCCAAATAATAATCTGAATGTATCCCTTAATACCATCCAATCCCATGCTAATAAATTAATTATAAATCATTACTTTTTTCCCCTAATGCCATTAACCTATATATTTAAAACTTCTTGACCAAAACACTCCCTCACCTTAAGGCAACCCGTTTACATAGTTCCCATAATAATACTAATTGTTTTTGAGTACTTCAAATCCTATTCCTTCCTTTTTATCCCTTTCAAAAGCCCCTTCATATAATTATAATGTCTATTTTATTAAAATACCTTCTCCTTATCTAATACCATCAACAATACCCCCAAAAAATGCGGCATTTTTATAGAGTTTGATTTTGATATCTTTAATCTAATTCAAATCAAGAATTATTGGTTTGTAGTTTTTAAAAAATTCAACAGCATTGTCTTGAGTTGGAAATTCATAGTCATTTATGTGATTAGGTATAGGAAATTTAGTTTTAATTTGTTAAATTAGCATGTGATATTCTTGTAGAATTGAGCTATGATACACTTCTGATAGTTTTTCATAATGCCATTCTTCTAAATTAGGGAATAATAGCTATATATTTTATTATTTTATCATTAATATATAGAGTCATAGTAATTAGCAACACCATTATGAAATTATAGATGTTGTCATACTACATATAATTGTAATAAATTCTTAAACATCACATTTTTTTTGAACAAGTAACTTTTTAATTTTGGGCTATTTCTTCTTAACAATCATCTCCCTTAATTCTTATTTCTTGAGCAAAAAAATGTGATGTTAATGACTCTGATTCTTTTTTATATCAAAATCTTGTGAAGAATTTCAACATTAGTATATAGTGTTAAATTTATATTAGAGAATAAATCTACTTCATTTTTTGTAATCTTCCACTCTTTTTTTTCCTACTTTTAGGAATAAATATCTTTCTTTTGGCTTAACATTAACCCAAACATCTAATAATTCAATAAAAATTGAAATCTTACTTTGAATTCCTACATTTTAGATGTTCCTTCTACTTAAAATGAAAATCTCAAGAGAGTTTGTCTATACTTCTTTAATTTGCAAAGGTGATGCCTTTAAGAAAGAATAATTTACAAGAATCATTGTGTATATCTGATTGTTAGTTTTAAATGTTTTTAAAGAAAAATATAAAGAAAATCAGTCATCCACTATATTCCCTAATTTTTAATCTGACAATTCTAACAGTTTGGGTTTCTTACAACTTTTTAATGCTTATACTTTGCTAATAGCATTTCAAATACATTAAATTGTGTTTAATTAAATTAGGTAAGTGAATAATGACAAGAAAAAAATTCAAATAAAAATTTAAATATGATTAGGAAAGCGAAGAAATCATATAAATTATGAGACTCTTAGGTCTAAGTTCGAAGGGAAATTTGAAAATTCCTCATATCTTCACATTCTAACTAATAGAATATATTTTATTTTTGTATATTTAAATTCACGTAAATGTTTCAGCAAAATCAATATTAAAATTAATATGAAAAAACTAGTCATATTAACACTCTTAATTGCCTTAGCTCTCAGTTAACGACTGAGCATCAACGATGCCAACTGTAATAAGTACCTTCTGAAATTTGGAACAGCCAATAATCCTGATGGCACAGGAGCAACCAAATTGGCTTTCACAGGAGATGTATAATTTGTTTCAGGAACAACAAATGTCAAGGTCAACCTTAGATACTCAGATGTGGATCTCTTTAATGATACCACATATTTTGGACTTGTTTAAGAAGATGGCAAAACAGCAGCCACCACATGTTTAGATCTTAAACTTTGGAAATTCACTTCAAATGCTTATTCTGATCCAGTTTAAGTAACAGACTTACCCATAACACCATCAAACAATTTCTAAAAATAATGGAGATATTATTCATTTACTATCCCAGGAGATCAATTAGCTACTAGATTAGTATAGACAAAGAATGCTAATTAATTTATCTACAAAGGCTATTATGCTGTTGCTTATTATGCTGCAGGAACTAATGAAGTCTAATATACATTCTATTTTGAATTCTCAGTAACTGTTGATAGAGCAAGCGGTGCATCAGTGGACACCTCATTCAAACCATTAAGTTAGACATCCACATTAGGTTGTGCTCCAAATTAAGCTTGTACTGCTAAAGCTGACACAGTTTTAAAATGGTGTACTGATTTAACATGCACCTAATTTTCAACACCTGATCTACATTTGAATGATCAATTTGTTTTATAATAAGTAGTTACCACTGCTGGTATGAACTACTATTTGACTGGAACAGAGGTTTGGTATACTGGTAATGGATTAAATAAGAAGGCTACTCCTATCTCTGTGAATAATAATATCAAAGGCTAAGCTATCATTTAATTGAGGGCTGAAATTGCTTGGAGTTCAGTCACTATTAGAGTTACCTCTACTTTATCTGATAACTAAGCAGGAGGAAGAAGACTTTTGGTTTAAACCACTTATGATCCAGTAACAGGTGAAACTGACGAAATCACTTGTATTAAAGCTGAAGGAAAAGAAACATGTCCTACATGTGAAGAGGAATGTTCAGCTTAAGGTTTTGCTAAAGATGGCTGCCCAGAATGTTCATCAACATAAATTTTAGCATTTGCTTTCATGCTTTTGCTCTTCATAATGATTTGATTTATATATATATATTAAAATTATATAAATACAAGTTTATTAATCTTAGTTTTAATATCTAAATATATAGTAGTATTGGTATAATTTTTGATATAATTTAGATTTGATAGTTTTAATGTTTAAATGAATTTTGAAATCTTTCTTTCTGATATAATAAAGATTTAAAAAAAAATAAGAAAATAACGAGAATTAAAATTAAAATTTTAAGGTTTCTCCTACAGCTGTTTAATCATTGTCTCCTTCTATTCTAATTCTTCTACCATTTTTCCGTATTCCAGCTTATCTTTTACCAGACTCATTAGCAATGTTTTTTTATATCCAAATAATAAACGTTATAATTTTTCTATCTGACTATGTTGATTCCCCATATTCATTCATTTTATTATTTAATTAATTTTTTATATATAATCTACCATAATTTCAAGTATATTTATTAAACCACAACCAACATGCATTGTTGATTTTTAATATTTTTAACGTTCTACTCTTAATTAAGGTTGCCTTTTATTTAAACTAACTGTATTATCTAATTTACAATCATAATAAATATTACATTGAATGACAACTCTTATATGTTAAAGAAATCAAAAATTTTTTTGCCTTAAAAATGAAACAGGTAACTGAAGAATGGTTCATCATTCACAATCATGGAATATAAATAAATCTAAATAAGTATTATTTCTTTTATAAATACGTTAGAACTCTTGGTTTTCCAATTTTTTAAAACACTAGTAAAACCTGCAATGTGAGTAATTTGAACACCAAAAACCTTCCTTTTGAGTATAATTTCTTAAACTTTTTAATATTTAATCACCATAAACCTCTGATTAAACTAAATGTTTAAAAATAATTGCAAGAGTTACAAATCTTTTATTAATATAATTTATACTCAAAAAAATATAGAATCTAAAAATAGTTGAAAATTCTTCACTAATTGTCTTTAATAGGTACCTTGATTTTCTTAAAGGTTGATAGCTTTACTTTCATAATTTATTAATTTGGCAAAAGAATTTTAACAAATGCGAGATAGAATATCAACATATCATTTTTTAAGTTGCATACAAAAATTTATAAAATTTATTATTATCAATGAAAACATTTGTAGCATTCACATTCTTGATTGCCTTAGCTCTCAGTTAACGACTGAGCATCAACGATGCCAACTGTAATAAGTACCTTCTGAAATTTGGAACAGCCAATAATCCTGATGGCACAGGAGCAACCAAATTGGCTTTCACAGGAGATGTATAATTTGTTTCAGGAACAACAAATGTCAAGGTCAACCTTAGATACTCAGATGTGGATCTCTTTAATGATACCACATATTTTGGACTTGTTTAAGAAGATGGCAAAACAGCAGCCACCACATGTTTAGATCTTAAACTTTGGAAATTCACTTCAAATGCTTATTCTGATCCAGTTTAAGTAACAGACTTACCCATAACACCATCAAACAATTTCTAAAAATAATGGAGATATTATTCATTTACTATCCCAGGAGATCAATTAGCTACTAGATTAGTATAGACAAAGAATGCTAATTAATTTATCTACAAAGGCTATTATGCTGTTGCTTATTATGCTGCAGGAACTAATGAAGTCTAATATACATTCTATTTTGAATTCTCAGTAACTGTTGATAGAGCAAGCGGTGCATCAGTGGACACCTCATTCAAACCATTAAGTTAGACATCCACATTAGGTTGTGCTCCAAATTAAGCTTGTACTGCTAAAGCTGACACAGTTTTAAAATGGTGTACTGATTTAACATGCACCTAATTTTCAACACCTGATCTACATTTGAATGATCAATTTGTTTTATAATAAGTAGTTACCACTGCTGGTATGAACTACTATTTGACTGGAACAGAGGTTTGGTATACTGGTAATGGATTAAATAAGAAGGCTACTCCTATCTCTGTGAATAATAATATCAAAGGCTAAGCTATCATTTAATTGAGGGCTGAAATTGCTTGGAGTTCAGTCACTATTAGAGTTACCTCTACTTTATCTGATAACTAAGCAGGAGGAAGAAGACTTTTGGTTTAAACCACTTATGATCCAGTAACAGGTGAAACTGACGAAATCACTTGTATTAAAGCTGAAGGAAAAGAAACATGTCCTACATGTGAAGAGGAATGTTCAGCTTAAGGTTTTGCTAAAGATGGCTGCCCAGAATGTTCATCAACATAAATTTTAGCATTTGCTTTCATGCTTTTGCTCTTCATAATGATTTGATTTATATATATATATTAAAATTATATAAATACAAGTTTATTAATCTTAGTTTTAATATCTAAATATATAGTAGTATTGGTATAATTTTTGATATAATTTAGATTTGATAGTTTTAATGTTTAAATGAATTTTGAAATCTTTCTTTCTGATATAATAAAGATTTAAAAAAAAATAAGAAAATAACGAGAATTAAAATTAAAATTTTAAGGTTTCTCCTACAGCTGTTTAATCATTGTCTCCTTCTATTCTAATTCTTCTACCATTTTTCCGTATTCCAGCTTATCTTTTACCAGACTCATTAGCAATGTTTTTTTATATCCAAATAATAAACGTTATAATTTTTCTATCTGACTATGTTGATTCCCCATATTCATTCATTTTATTATTTAATTAATTTTTTATATATAATCTACCATAATTTCAAGTATATTTATTAAACCACAACCAACATGCATTGTTGATTTTTAATATTTTTAACGTTCTACTCTTAATTAAGGTTGCCTTTTATTTAAACTAACTGTATTATCTAATTTACAATCATAATAAATATTACATTGAATGACAACTCTTATATGTTAAAGAAATCAAAAATTTTTTTGCCTTAAAAATGAAACAGGTAACTGAAGAATGGTTCATCATTCACAATCATGGAATATAAATAAATCTAAATAAGTATTATTTCTTTTATAAATACGTTAGAACTCTTGGTTTTCCAATTTTTTAAAACACTAGTAAAACCTGCAATGTGAGTAATTTGAACACCAAAAACCTTCCTTTTGAGTATAATTTCTTAAACTTTTTAATATTTAATCACCATAAACCTCTGATTAAACTAAATGTTTAAAAATAATTGCAAGAGTTACAAATCTTTTATTAATATAATTTATACTCAAAAAAATATAGAATCTAAAAATAGTTGAAAATTCTTCACTAATTGTCTTTAATAGGTACCTTGATTTTCTTAAAGGTTGATAGCTTTACTTTCATAATTTATTAATTTGGCAAAAGAATTTTAACAAATGCGAGATAGAATATCAACATATCATTTTTTAAGTTGCATACAAAAATTTATAAAATTTATTATTATCAATGAAAACATTTGTAGCATTCACATTCTTGATTGCCTTAGCTCTCAGTTAACGACTGAGCATCAACGATGCCAACTGTAATAAGTACCTTCTGAAATTTGGAACAGCCAATAATCCTGATGGCACAGGAGCAACCAAATTGGCTTTCACAGGAGATGTATAATTTGTTTCAGGAACAACAAATGTCAAGGTCAACCTTAGATACTCAGATGTGGATCTCTTTAATGATACCACATATTTTGGACTTGTTTAAGAAGATGGCAAAACAGCAGCCACCACATGTTTAGATCTTAAACTTTGGAAATTCACTTCAAATGCTTATTCTGATCCAGTTTAAGTAACAGACTTACCCATAACACCATCAAACAATTTCTAAAAATAATGGAGATATTATTCATTTACTATCCCAGGAGATCAATTAGCTACTAGATTAGTATAGACAAAGAATGCTAATTAATTTATCTACAAAGGCTATTATGCTGTTGCTTATTATGCTGCAGGAACTAATGAAGTCTAATATACATTCTATTTTGAATTCTCAGTAACTGTTGATAGAGCAAGCGGTGCATCAGTGGACACCTCATTCAAACCATTAAGTTAGACATCCACATTAGGTTGTGCTCCAAATTAAGCTTGTACTGCTAAAGCTGACACAGTTTTAAAATGGTGTACTGATTTAACATGCACCTAATTTTCAACACCTGATCTACATTTGAATGATCAATTTGTTTTATAATAAGTAGTTACCACTGCTGGTATGAACTACTATTTGACTGGAACAGAGGTTTGGTATACTGGTAATGGATTAAATAAGAAGGCTACTCCTATCTCTGTGAATAATAATATCAAAGGCTAAGCTATCATTTAATTGAGGGCTGAAATTGCTTGGAGTTCAGTCACTATTAGAGTTACCTCTACTTTATCTGATAACTAAGCAGGAGGAAGAAGACTTTTGGTTTAAACCACTTATGATCCAGTAACAGGTGAAACTGACGAAATCACTTGTATTAAAGCTGAAGGAAAAGAAACATGTCCTACATGTGAAGAGGAATGTTCAGCTTAAGGTTTTGCTAAAGATGGCTGCCCAGAATGTTCATCAACATAAATTTTAGCATTTGCTTTCATGCTTTTGCTCTTCATAATGATTTGATTTTGTTTTTTCATAAAATTTGTCAGTTTCAAAATAATTTTATTTTACAAAAATTCTAAATATACTACACAAAGAGCAATATGTCAATGTATTATCTTTCTTGCTCTTCTAAAGCATAATTTTATTCTTATAACCTTTAAGTTAAGACAATTCTTTAATTTATTCATTTTAATATTGAAAATTTAGAAGATTATTTAATTTAAGAATTAAAACTATCTTAATACCTGATTTTCAGAACAAAGTATAATAGTTATCTTAAATTCAATGCTTCTCTTCTCAAGATATATCTTTACATTCTACATCTAACATTATAAACTAATTATTATTTAAATCTAAATTTTTCAATATATAAATGAGCCAATCTGATTTAGATAGACAAATAGCCTAACTAAGGAACTGCGAAAATATAACTGAAGGAGAAGTTAAAGCATTATGTACAAAGGCTAGAGAAATTCTTGTAGAAGAAAGCAATGTGTAGAGAGTCGATGCCCCAGTTACGGTAAAAATATTTTTAATATCAGATCTGTGGAGATATTCATGGCCAATTCTTTGATTTAATGGAGTTATTTAAAGTGGGAGGGGATTGCCCAGATACTAACTACTTATTCTTAGGTGACTTTGTTGATAGAGGATTTAATAGTGTGGAAACATTTTTATTATTATTAGCTTTGAAAGTGCGTTATCCAGACAGAATAACATTGTAAAATAATCATTAATGTAGAATACGTGGGAATCATGAATCTAGATAAATTACTTAAGTTTATGGCTTTTATGATGAATGTCTAAGAAAATATGGGTCATTAAATGTTTGGAGATATTGCACAGACATTTTTGATTATTTGAGTTTGGCTGCTGTCATTGAGGAGAAGATATTTTGCGTACATGGTGGATTATCCCCTTCAATAAAAACTATTGATGATGTTTTAGAAATTTAATTATGTAGATTCGAGCAATCGATCGTAAATAAGAAGTACCTCATGATGGAGCTATGTGCGATTTGATGTGGAGTGATCCTGATGGTATCTTGATTAAATGATTATTTTAGAAATTGAAGGATGGAATTTATCTCCGAGAGGAGCAGGTTATTTATTTGGTGGAGATGTTGTGGATGATTTCAATAGAAAAAATAATATTGAATTAATATGTAGAGCTCATCAATTAGTAATGGAAGGATATAGAGTTATGTTTAATGAATAATTAGTAACTGTCTGGAGTGCACCTAATTATTGTTACAGGTATATTTTTACATTTAATCAGATGCGGAAATGTGGCCTCAATACTTGAATTAGATGAAAATCTTGCTAAATCTTATAAAATATTTGAAGCTGCTCCATAAGAAAACAGAGGATTACCAGCCAAGAAACCAATTCCTGATTATTTTTTATGAATAAATATTTATGAGTGATTTAGATTAATGGATAGTCAGATTAAAGAATTGCCAATTTCTAACTGAATTAGAAGTGATTTAATTGTGCACTAAAGCAAAAGAAATACTTATATCTGAAAGCAATGTAGAGACTGTCCATACTCCTGTTACAGTAATTATTTTCATCCTATTAGGTTTGTGGGGATATTCATGGGTAATTTCATGACCTTATTGAGTTATTTAAAGTAGGAGGAGATTGTCCTGACACTAATTACCTTTTTTTAGGAGATTTAGTCGATCGCGGATTTAATAGTGTTGAAACATTTCTTTTACTATTAGCATTCAAAGTGCGTTATCCAGACAGGATTACCATGTAATAGTTTAAAATATTTTGAAGCATAAGAGGAAATCATGAATCAAGGTAAACAACTTAAGTTTACGGATTTTATGATGAATGTCAACGCAAATATGGTTCTGCAAATGTTTGGAGATATTGCACTGATGTTTTTGATTATCTGACAATAAGTGCAGTAATCGAAAACAGAGTATTTTGTGTCCATGGAGGATTGTCTCCAAATATTGTTGAGATAGATGATGTAAACTTATGTGAAATTATTTTTAAGGTGAAATCCTTAGATCGAAAGCAAGAGGTTCCACATGAAGGAGCTATGTGTGATCTATTGTGGAGTGATCCAGAAGATATAATTGGATGGGGAGTTTCTCCAAGGGGAGCTGGATATATATTTGGAGGCGACATTACTAAAGAGTTCAATAAAACTAATAATTATGATTTCATATGTCGAGCTCATTAACTCGTCTTAGAAGGATACAAAACAATGTTTGATGATCAACTGATAACAGTATGGAGTGCTCCAAATTATTGTTATCGTGTCGGAAATTAAGCCTCAATCTTAGAGTTAGATGATAATTTAGAAAAAAAATTCAAAATTTTCTTAGCAGCAAATGTGGAATAAAGAGGTCTGATTGGAAGGCATCCTGTGCCTGATTATTTCTTGTGATAAATATTATTATATATACTCAATCAATAAAAGTTTTCATTCTCCTACTATTCATGCTTCGATATGAATTAGGGCTATGAGTTCGAATATTAATAATGGTTTAAGTATCTTCATTCTTTTAATGCGTAGCCACTTTCAGTTTTATTCTTTTGATAAACTTTCCCATTGTTGTTGGGCTACTCAAAACCTTATGATGATTGAATTATTAAGAATTATTAATGTTCAGTTCATTTTATTAATTGTAACATTGAGTAAGCATTCCATTCATCTACTCTAATTCTTATTCATTTGCTGATTTTCGAAATTTATCATTATTGCTAGCAAATCGGAAAAATTATCGATGGTAGAATCTTTTTTTAAAGTAATTTTGGGAAACGAATTTTTTTTGATCAAAAAATGTTTTGACTTAAGCATAAGAACAATTTCTATCTTTGAGTAATTTTGTAAATTATTCTATTGCTTATTTTTCTTGTTATTTAAATTCATCATACTATTTGTCCTTTAAAAGATCATCATTTGTATTTCTTTAAGATAATAGATTATATTTTTGAACATAGCTTTTTTTTAAAGGTATTGGTAAATGTATCTGTTCTTCAAGTTTCTTTCTTTTATTATCAATTTCTTTAATCAACTCTTCTGCTTTAATTGATCTGAAATGATGAATAGATGATAGCAATTACAAAAAGACAACCTACGTTTTGCTATCCCAGAAACGTCTCTTCATAATTATATAATCTTACTTCTAAATATCTTCTCTTGTGATTTTATAAGCAACTCCAATTTCACTTTTACAAACTATATCATATTTTGTTTTCCCCCACTAAACAAATATGGAGGATTTGATCAAAAATTGGCCTTCTTTACTCAAGAATGCTTCTTATCCAAAAGATTCCCCTGGCCCTAAAGTGCATCTAATTATAAATATATAATCTAATACATACTACATAACTTGTTTTTATAAGAGAATTGAACCTAAAATTCACCATCTCTTACCACATAAAAATGATTGCAGTACTCATTCTATTTAATAATTGCTTAATTAAGAGTCACTGTAACAGGTTCAAAGTGATAACTGATTGTTTTTATTTCTCTAAAAGACCAAGAACTAAAAAATGGAAAAGAACAAAGGAAGGAAATCTTATTTTAAATTTTTGCAATTTCTTAGGCTCCTAAGATAGATTTATAGTGATGTTTTTCCATCACTGCAAAAACACAATCTTCTTTTGCTACAATTGTAGCAGTTCTTTTAGCATCATTTATTAGAGCTAGCTCTCCAAAACTTGCTCCAGCTTTCAATATATTTACTTCTTTTAGCTCAAATTATTGAGGATCATCTGGATTAGGCAATCGAATATTAATACCCACAGATCCTTTTAAAATAACATAGAAAAGACTTCCTGAATCTCCTACTTTAAAGAGTATCTAAATAGATTATGATTATATTTTACATCTCCTGATTTAATAGTTCGATATGATAGTACTTATATGCAACGATGAAGCATTTCAAGCGATTATTCACCAAGTTCTCTAAAAAAAGTTATGGTGAGTGCAAAGATTAAAAGATGGTTAAGTTCTTCAGGGCTTCTACGTATTGGTGTAATTTGAAGAATGCGAATGCATTCAGCAAATAATTATTGCTTATCCATTTTTAATTAAAAATTATGTGGAAAGGCTTTTTGAGTATTTTTGGGGGTTTCCTTACCCATCTAGTTACAGGCGCATTCTATTGTATACTTCATTAATGAGAGTAGTTTGGGGCAATATTTCCATGAATGTCAGCTCTTACTATCGCTTCAATGGATACCCAGATATTGAAACAAAAACTGTTTCTGCTGTCTTTCCAGCCATATACTTTGGGATTGCTATAGGAAGTCAATTTGGTATTCATTTGGCTCGCCGTTTTGGTCATAAGTTGATAAGTGTAGTAAATATGTTGTGTTATTGTGCATCTATGTATGCAGCAACATATAGCAACTTTTACTTTTTTGTATTCTTTCAAGGTTTATTACCAGGGGTTTTTATTGGAATTGAGTACTTAATTCCAGTCGACAATGCATTGAAATTTTTTCCTTCGAAAAAAGGCATGGTCACAGGATTAATATTATGTGGATTTGGATTCACACCACTTGTTTTTAATCCAATATTATAGAAACTATTAAATCCAGACAATATTCTTCCAGTCAATGGATACTATCCAGAAGATGTTGCTGAAAACCTGATGAAAAGTCTAAGAATTGTTACCACCATTTATCTAGTGTTGGGATTAATCGGAGCGTTTTTGATGTAATCAATAAATTAAAGTGACGATCATGATGACGAAACATATAAACAGTACACATAATAATTAATATCAATAGGAAATTAATCTAAAATGACGCACAAGTCAGTGTAAATTCTTAATTTGATATACTCAAGAAAAAAGAGTTCTGGCTCAGTACATTTTAGGTATTTTGTTTAACTGGTTTTGGATTCATCCTTATCTCCCACTATAAGGAGTATGGTATAGTCCATATACCAGATGACTAGTTTTTTTCATTAGTCGGTATGATTGGTGGATTTACAAATGGGTATCATTATTTCATTAAAATTACAGCCTGTCTCGTTTCCTCTGGAGTTTTTTGTTGGATTTTATAAATTACAAATACCTTGTTTTTATTAATATAGTGATGGCTATGATTTTGGCAGCAACAATAAATCTGATTGCTGATTCAAAATTTCTATTTATGTTATGGGTTATACTTACTTACTTACAGTATGGAGGATTGTACACATTATTTCCTGGAATATGCACTAAAGTATTCATATATTAGGAGATAATAGTAATTTGGTACTAAATTCGGTCCGTTGGCATACAATATGGCATTTAATAGCATTCCTTTTTCAAATTTGACTTAATTTCTATTAACTTTGTATTTTCATGATTAATTCATGAATGGGCAATTGTTTTACATTTATGTTGGAATCAATTTTCTAGCACTTATTATTTAAGTCTATTTGCTAATAAACGAAGGATAACGTAAAAGGTTAAGTAGTGTAAATTACACTGAATGAATTATATAATAATAGTAATGTATACTATATATATTTATTATATATTATTATTATTATATGGGTAGTTGTAATTGTATTCCAAAAAAGCTAGGAGAAGAAGAAATATAGACTTAAAGAGGAGGGAGCGAACACTAAATATTGGATAAAGAAAAACAATAAGATGCACTAACATTTACTCATGGTTGATTTTTATATTCTTATTCAGAGGACAATAAACCAGCCAATGATGAATCTTAATAACTTGTTTAAAGTACGAAAGGAATTCGGAAAAAACTTCCTCGAATAAATATGCTTAATGGAGGTTATTATGAAGGGGAATGGTTCAATTGTATGAGGGATGGCTTTGGATTGCATGTAATATTGAAAAATTGATTAGAGTGTTGGGCTGATGGAGGTTTTTATGAAGGGGAATGGAAAGCTGATAAAGCTGAAGGCAAAGGGAAATTAGGTATATTCATAATTATTAGCATTTTTAGTTCATGGAGATGGAGATATATATGAAGGTTAATGGGCAAATGATATGGCAAATGGAGTAGGTACTTATGTACATGCTGGAGGTGCTAAATACGAAGGTGAGTGGTTGAATGATTAGTAGCATGGAAAAGGAGTAGAAGTTTGGCCTGATGGCTCTAAATATGAAGTATTGAAATCTCTAATTATGAAGGGAATGTATACTTTTGGAAAAAAAAATGGAAAGGGAAAACTATAATTCGCAGATAATAGTATCTACGAGGGAGATTTTTTAGATAATGAAATAAGTGGGGTTGGTAAATATACATGGAATGATGGTAAAATATATACAGGAAATTGGTTAAATAATAAAATGAATGGATATGGTGAAACAATATGGCCAGATGGAAAAAGTTACAAAGGATATTATTTAGATGATAAAAAACATGGGCAAGGTGTCTTCTCTTGGAATAACGGAAAAAGATATGAAGGAGAATGGTCTATGGGAAAATAAAATGGAAAAGGTGTAATAATAACTGAAACTGGAGAAAGAAAAGGTGGAATATGGGAAAATGGTAGAAGAATTAAAATAGAAGGAGAAAATGATTAAACAGCTGAAGGAGAAACCTGAACATATTCATTTTTAATTCTCATAATTTTCTTATTCTTTCACAAATTTTTATTTTATCAAGAAGAAAGGTTTCAAGATTCATTTTAATATTAAAACTATCAAATCTAAATTGTATAAAATAATAATAATTGCCATTATATATTTATATATAAATTTTAAATCAACATCAGTAAAGTTATGAATCCTCCTAAAATGTATCCATTTGAAGTGTTATCGTTATTAACATCAGTATCTTCACCACCAGGACACTCTGCACAGCCATCATGAGCAAAACCTTAAGCTGAACATTCCTCTTCACATGTAGGACATGTTTCTTTTCCTTCAGCTTTAATACAAGTGATTTCGTCAGTTTCACCTGTTACTGGATCATAAGTGGTTTAAACCAAAAGTCTTCCTCCTCCTGCTTAATTATCAGATAAAGTTGATATAACTTAGAAAATGACTTAATTCCAAACAATTTCAGCCTTTAATATAATTATAGCTTATCCTTTTGTATTATTATTCACAGAGGTTATTGTAGCTTTCTTATTCAATCCCTTACCAGTATACCAAACCTCAATTCCAGTCAAATAGTAGTCTAGACCTGGAGTTGTTACAACTTATTATAAAAAGAATTGATCATTTAAATGTAAGTCAGGTGTTGCAAATGAAGTGCATGTTAAATCAGTACACCATTTTAAAACGTTATCGACTTTTGCAATACAAGGTTCATTTGGAGTACAACCTAATGTGGCTGTCTAACTTAATGGTTTGAATGAAGTGTCTACTGCAGCACCAGTTGCTTTATCAACAGTCACAGAGAATTCAAAATAGGATGTATAGTAAACTTAATCAGTACCTGCAGCTTAATAAGCAATAGCATAAAAGCCTTTGTAAATGAATTGATTAGTATTTTATGTCTTTAATAATCTTTTTTCTAAATCTGCCTTTGGAATGTTGAATGAATAGTATCGCCATTATTTTTGGAAATCTGATGTTATTGGCAAATCAGTAACTTCAACTGGATCAGAATAAGAATTTGAAGTAAACTTCCATAGTTTAAGGTCAAAGCATGGGGTTGTTGTTGTTGTTTTTCCATCCACCTAAGTAATACTGGAATTTGTGTCATCATTAATGAGATCCAGATTAGAATATTTTAGGTTTATTTTAACATCTGTTGATTCTGAGACAAAGGCTATATCTCCTGTGAAAGCCAACTTTGTTGCCTCTGCGCCATCAGGACTATTGGCTGTTCCAAATTTTTCTAAATATTTATTGCATAGTAGGTCATTGATACCGCTAACTATTTAGCTTAATCCAGAGGCAATTAAGGATGTTAAAATGATTAAGGTTTTCATTTAAATTGATATAATTCCATGATCTATTCATAAACCATACTAAAAACATAATTTTTTAATCTTTTCTATACTTTATTCTATTTGACAACGATCAATTTAAATTCTATATAAATTTGTAATTTATTATTTCCAAGAAATATGAACATATATAAAAAGTTGAGATTTGTCATATGGAAATGTTGCATAACTAATTGTTTAAACTAATTAGAAATCATCTCTAAATGCCCTTCCTTTAAATCTAAATAATTAAAATCCTTGCCTGTTTTATCGGTGATTGAAACTTAATAATTATAAAAAATGATTCCTAAAGACAAATCTATTACAAAAAATAAGATATCAAATAAACTTAAAGATAATTATTAGAAGAGAGGTTAAAATGCCATTAAATAAATGCTGCCCTGATATTGTATTGAACCCTCTTTACAAGTTTCTTGAGTTAAGATTTGCAAATAAACAATAGGATTATAATTTAAGTAAACTTAGATTACCCTGTTAAATGAGCTTAAATAAATGTTATATAAGTTATTGAAAAAAAATAAAAGGAGCAAAAGAAGAGTGATAAATTAAATATTGTATTCATATATTTTTCAAATACTTATAACACAATTAAAAGGCAAAACCAAAATTTTGTCATGATAAATACATATTATTAAAATTCATCTATATTTTCCTTTTATTACTTTCTATTTTCCACATTCTAAGTATATTTACAATATTTCTAGTTGCATATTAAAAGTTTAAAGGAAAACAAAATTTTTCTCAGAATTTTTTCTACAAAATTCTTTTAAATCATTTCACGACTAATTTATTATAATAGTAAATACTAAAAATAATGTAGAAAAATAAAGAAATATTATTTAATTTTATGGAGCCAATAATATTAATATATGTTAATTAATGACTGTAATACAGATTGATTCTATCTATTTATATGGATAAAATGGCAGAAACTCTGATAAACTATTTAATAAATAAAGTGATTATTGATTATAAAAGCTTTTATATAATAATAAAAAATTATAAAATTTAGAGATCATAATATTTATATGAGGTGAAATTCTATTTGGATCGGATGATGAGGAAAATCTTAAAAACAAATATTTTAAAGTCAAAGTTGAGAAAAAATGAAAAAAATCGGTGATTACAGAATGTTTTTTAAATAGAATAAAGCATAAAAAAAATTACAAAATTAGGTTTTTAACCTGATTTATAATTAGAGTATTGAATTAATTTAATTAAAATGAAAACAATAATCATAGTAGCATTCTTAGTGGCACTTGGCTTAAGCTAAAGACTTAGTATCAACGACCCAAATTGCAACAATTACTTGAAAAAATTTGGAACAGCCAATAATCCTGATGGAACAGGAGCAACAAAGTTGGCTTTCACAGGAGACATCGCCTTTGTTTCAGGATCAACAGATGTTAAGGTAAATTTAAGATACTCAGATGTGGATCTCTTTAATGATGCTACATACTTTGGACTTGTTTAAGAAGATGGAAAAACAGCAGCCTAGACATGTCTTGATCTTAAACTATGGAAATTCACTTCAAATGCTTATTCTGACCCAACTTAAATAACAGATTTACCCATAACACCATCAAACAATTTCTAAAAATAATGGAGATATTATTCATTTACTATTCCAGGAGCACAATTAGCAAGTAGATTAGTAGAAACAAAAAACGCTAATTAATTCATTTACAAAGGCTTTTATGCTATCTCTTATTATGCTGCAGGCACTAATGAAGTCTAGTATACATTCTATTTTGAATTCTCCGTAACTGTTGATAGAGGAACTGGTGCTTCAGTAGACACTTCATTCAAACCATTAAGTTAGACAGCCACAGTAGGTTGTGCTCCAAATTAAACTTGCAATGCAAAAGCTGATACAGTTTTAAAATGGTGTACTGATTTAACATGTACATCATTTGCAACACCTGATTTACATTTAAATGATCAATTCGTTTTATAATAAGTAGTTACCACTGCAGGTATGAACTACTATTTGACTGGAACAGAGGTTTGGTATACTGGTAATGGATTAAATAAGAAAGCAACAATAACCTCTGTGAATAATAATAAAAAAGGAGAAGCTATAATTTAATTAAAGGCTGAAATTGCTTGGAGTTCAGTCACTATTAGAGTTACCTCTACTTTATCCGATAATTAAACAGGAGGAAGAAGACTTTTGGTTTAAACCACTTATGATCCAGTATTTGGTGAAACTGACGAAATCACTTGTATTAAAGCTGAAGGAAAAGAAACATGTCCTACATGTGAAGAGGAATGTTCAGCTTAAGGTTTTGCTAAAGATGGCTGCCCAGAATGTTCATCATCATAAATAATAGCATTTGTGTTCTTGGCCCTAATGTTAGCATTTACAATTTGATTTTTTAATATATGTTCAATCCATCAAAATTATATTAATTTAAATATGAATCCTCATTTTAAAACTTAATTAAAGTTACTATTCCTTTATGATATAAAATTGAGTTAAAAAATGCAATACTTATATATTAAATATTTGACTTAATTATATCAGTGGTTTTGTATCTTATAAATCATCATAGTTTAAGTATGAATAAAAAATAATCAAGCAAATGATTTTAGTGTAAAATTATACAAAGAATTAATTATAAACTTTAAGATATTAGCAAATTAGAGTACATAACCGAATACAATACTTTACTCAAAGTTTTAGCTATATATTAAAATTTTTTTTAATAATTTGTAATTGTTTTCAAAATAAAATAATTACATACTTTTCTACACATATGGTCAGCTAACAAGGAAAACAAAAATCAAAATATAAGAGTTATAAATACTATCTTTTAACCTAATTTCAATATGATAAAATTAAGCAAGCTAACATAGGCACATCACTGATACTCTCAGTTAGATATCTTCATCTAAAACTATAATTTAACATACTCTTGATTGAGAATAATTTTAAGTATATTTTATATTCATCGAAAATTTATTGAAGTTATTCCCTAACTAATTAGATTAGATTAAAATTAAGGATAATCGATCACTAAGGATCTAGTGATTTATTAATATTGTTTAAAATAAAAAAATGCATTCTAATCCAATTTTTTTTTCATATTTTTAAAAGCATTATCACATAAGTTGGTAAGAGATTTGAAGAAAGGTTTAATTGCCTCACAAGTTTTGATTATTTAATAAAGATTAAGTATAAAGTAATACTACATTACACTAAAAATGCAGAAATAATATTAAAATTGACCAATTTAGTTTAATTTTCTAATGGATAAACTACTTTAAGTACTGATAAATATTTCATGGGTGTAATTGATTAGATGATGAGGTTCAATTTTGGCAATACATCTTCTTAAATTAATTTATAGGATGAATAATTATTAGTCTCAATCCCTTTAAAAGCACTTATGTATCCCTTCTTATTTAAATTATCCAAAATATTTATTCATTTTTTAACTACCTTCATTTGAAAGGCATATTATTATTATGTCCTCGAGAGATTTCATCACTAAAGATAACATGCATTATTATTAAATTAATATTTCATTTTTTTTTCTTCCTAAATAATCCATCCTATTGGACTTAGGAAGGATTATAGATTAAGGAATTTATCTTATTCTAGAAAGATCTTATTCTAGATCTAAAAGAGCTTTTTTTCATAATTAGTAAATTTTTTGTTTTGTTTTGTTATTGATTTTTTTTCAGTCATTTGTTAATGAATGATCTTGTAATATTTTAATATTTTCTTATTTCTAAAGAGTTATCTAAGGATTTCAAAAAACTTAAATATTCATAATATAATTACATTGATTAATTTGATGCGAGTCTATTTAATTTATCTATTTGTAATCAGATCAGAATTTATTCTTCTCTCCATTATATTATTACAAACTACTATTTCTTAATTAATATCATTATTGTCACTAAAAGGAAACAGGAATTTAGATCGATTAGATTTTTAAAATATATTTTAATAAAAAGTATAAATGATTATGAGATAATATTCAATCAATAGAATCACCTCAACTTTTCGACATCTAATAATTCTTACATAATTCAACCATCCTTGAAATGAGTGTAATCCCTCTCAAGGTTGGGAAAGCTTTTACTATTTCTTAGAGTTAAATACACACTATAAAAGAAAATATTTTATTAATTTTGATAACTAATTCTAATTGGTCTTATTCATAAATAAGTATTCAATTAGCAATATTTTTATTTATTCATTTGACTTAATTTTCTTGAGTTAATTTGATGAGGTTTGATAAATGAGAAATTAGAATGAATAATTTCATTAACCTTAATTATTAGAATATATCAAAGGATAAGATATTCCTAATGTTGGATAGGGGAAAATAGATAAAAGAATAATAAATCAGCCATTTTTTTTAATAATCAAATAGCAATTACAACATTCTGTTTGCAAACAGGACAGTTATTATGCTACAATAACCAATTTTTTATGCATTTAGAATGGTAATAATGGTTACACCCCAGTTTTCGATACTTTTCACCTATTTCCATGTTGCATTGACAAACTGGACATATTCCTTAGATATTATCACTTTATTGAATAACTCTTTTACGAATTCTTCTGATATCCTCTCTAGCTATACCATTTGACACAGTTCTAATAATAATATCAATTATAATATACCCCATCTATTCTTCCAATTATAGTAATTATTCATAACTCATATTGTCTACATCAATAGCTTGAGTTTAATATTATCGTAATCTAGATTATTGTTGTAGAAGTGGCAAAACTTGTGCTGTCAATCTTAGTTATAATAGAAGTGCCCTCATTTCTAATAATTATTGAAATGGATCATGTTAATGTTATTGATGTTATTATTAAATTTCTTAACATTTTTTTTTGTAATCTTTCTTCTTACTTTTCAATTTAAGAATTAGGTCTTTTTATTATTTTATTTCTTTATCTTTATTATCAATTTTCTAAATAAAATAATCAATTTCTTCTTCTCTTTTCTTAAGTTCTCTTTCTAATTCTTTAGTTAGCTATGAGAATAATAAGAATTATACCTCACTCATTTTTGAAATTTTTTTATCATATTCTTAACACTTATCTTTTAATTATTACCTTAGTTGTTCATTTTCATTCAATAGTTTTTTTTATTCATCCTTACTAAAAATACATTAACTATATTTATACCTATTTAGATTTGAAGTATTTTCTAATTAAGTTTGCTAAACTGGAACCTATTGAGGAATCTTACACATAGGTTTTTATGGAACTAAATTGAAATATTTAATTTTACTTGTTTCAATCTTTGTTTTTTACATTACTGTAGACCTACGAATAGTAAACTTCTTGTTTTATTGCATTGATTTACTAATATATATATTTTATTTATAATTGTTTTTATGTTTAAAATATAGATTTATATTTATATTTTACATTTGAAAACTTCACAAAATGGAGCAAAATATAGTATTTGATAGCAACTTAAGAAATATCTATAGAACAGATCACATATTTGAGAATATTAATTATATTGAATATGATATGATCACATATATATATTTATTATAATTAAAAGGAATATATGAATATGTAGATTAAAAGATGACCTAAAATTAGATATTTAAAGAAATGGATTTAAAATAAATAAATTTTTTTTGATTAATAATTTAAGAGAGTCTTGAAATAATAGAAAATTATTAGGATTATTATAATAATAAAAATTAATTGATTAATTATTTATATATTGGATTTCATTATTAATTAGGTAGGATAGATATGATTACATCTGCAATTTTATTGAACTTTTCAAGTTGATACTTTCTTCTAATTGCAGTCATGTTGAAACTTTTTAAAAGTGATATGACAGGTAGGAATTCAGATAAACATTGTCTTAATTCCTCTTAGTCTTCAATATAATGCAAAGATGAGGGTAAAACTTATGGAGATCTTAGCATATTGATGGCTAGAAGTATGGATGTGGTGGCTAATAATGATGAAGAAAATCTAATAAAAAATTATGATAATATTGTTACTTTAAACATTTAATATCTAATAAGGACAATTCTAGAATCATGCGAGATGCATAATTAATTTTATCACATAGGTTAGCTGCTTGTATTTATCGTTCTAAGAATTTTAGTGGTGAAGTGTATGTTAAATTGAATTAGATTGTCAATAGGATTTTACTTTCCATGTCTATATATAAATATGAATTTAGAAATACCTAAGATTTCTTCTTTAGTGTAAGCATTGTCACAAACATGTACAAAATCCTTCAATTCAGGTGCATAGATCTCTTCAAATTTAGATGATATGAATAAAGATGCAATTCCAACCAATTGTAGTTTATTTCTCATAATTGTATTTTTTGATAAATAACGATCTATAAGATTAATGGTTAAATAGAGTGTTTCAGATTATAACTTAAATTTGAGATGTACATCAACTAGCCAATCTATTAAAATTGAACGCATTTGATTTGTGATATCCAATTATAAATTCATATAAAATGGAGTCTAGCACATAAAGTTATGTTAATGGACTTATAGGTATTCAAATATATCACCAATATATGGGTTTACCAATTCTGGAGGTATTATTTCCTCTTCTATTTTGATTATGGGCTTTGAACATATAAATTAAGAAGCAGAACGAGTTGGTAATCGTTAAATGTTAGTGAGTTCATTTCCAAATTATCTATTGCGTGTAGTCATAAAGTTATTATATGAGACTCTCACATAATTGTTCTCGTTGTTCTGCTTCATTAATATTTAAATTAACTGTTATAATTAAAAATTTTCATAATATATCCTTTTTCATATATTATCATAAACTCAACTCCCCATTTTTAAAGAAGTATACTTAGACGAATGAGGCATTCTTCTCTTAAACAGTCTTGAAATTATATATCACGGCCTTATTCAATTATTCTGCATTAAATTAATGATTATTTAATCTAGCTTAATTTACAAAAGCATCAATATGATTGGCTGATACCTTAACAGCCAAATAACTATGAGGAGCTGAAACTTTCCATTCAAAGATATTCTTCTCTGGATGATATTATACACCATATACTGGATATTATTTTCCTTACATAGAAGCAATAAAAGTTTAACCCTTAATATCTTAATTGGTTCCAGTGATTCTGAAGAATGCATCCAAAGAAGGATATTTTTTATATAAGTCTGGACTCACACCCCAATTATGACTGTAATATAAATATTGATTAGTTTGCATTGCTTAATAAGTGTCGTCATCGAAATCCTTATATAATGAAAAATTTCTATCTCCATTTTCTAATGAATGACTAATACCATTCTCTCCATAAACTCTATAAAGGAAGGGAGTTTTGTATCCTGAAATAATATAATGCAAAGTTTAGAATCCCATGCAAATACCAAGAACAGGAAATACTTCACCAGCTTCATTCATTTAAAGTGCTCTATTTAACATATAAGCAACAGCCTTAGTAAATTTGGATGGTCCAGTTGGAGTATCAAGTTCAGAAGCACCTCCTGGAATGATAATACCATTAATGCCTTAAAAGTATTTTTCTAAAATGGTATTATCAGCTTCATATGGAATTGGTACAACTCTAGCACCAGCCATTTCAACAAATTTGACATATGATGCAGCCAAATAAGAATATTAACTAGATGGGTAATCAATATAGTCTGGATCTGATGGTTGAGTAAATATTCCAATAACAACATTATTATTGATTTCTGTCAAATATTCAATGTCATCTATGAAATTTGATTAACTCAAAAATAATAGACAAGATAATAATAGCAATATTCTTGGCATTTATTATAATATTTAATAAAAAATTTTATAATTATATTATGTTAATAATCATAGGAATATAAGTATTGAAATAAGAGTAGTAAATTAGAATTTAAATAATGTTAATATTGATTTATTAATAATATGGGTGTTTGGTGTGAAACTTTTTAATATAAAAATTATAATTAATTAAGTAAGTCATTTATAGGCATCTGCATCCGGCTGAATTTACTTTAGTTATACACCAGACTATTAGAGTTTGATAAGATGGTTCCCTCTTTAGGATGCAAATCTTTATGAGAGTTCATATAATTCTATTTTCTTTTGGTCCAGTTGAGATTTTAATTATCTTTAATCTTATTCCAATCTTTCTATTAACGCATCTCTTTCTCTTATTATTAATTCGAAAGTGGCATCTGTTATTATATATTATTAACTGCTCTATTGTGTATCCTACATTATTTTAGACTATATCAAAATGATTCCCTTACTTAAGGTTTCTCTTAATTATCAATTTCTCTTTGTTTTGATGATCTTTTGATAGGTTATGACTTATCCATTTTATATATTAATTATTTTTATATATTTAATGTTCAATAACCCATACCCAAACCCTATGTTCAATAATTAGTATTTCGAATTGATTAGAGATAATTAGCAATTTCAACCTTAAAAAGATTCTACTCACTCTCTTTATGTTGATGGTAAAATCTTAAATAATAAATATAATAGGAATTCCAAATGATGCACAAGAACGAGAAGTAGCACGTATCAAATCTAAATATTATTTAGATATTTTTCGTCCTTATCCAGGGTTCCAAAGAGTCCGTTTAATTAAAAAGTAAACACAAAAGGGAAGAGAATATTTGCTCTGCTTTGTAGATTTTGATGATGCCCTTCAAGCTACTATTGTAATGCAGACTCTTCAAGTTATCATAAAGCATTATAATATCCTAGGGATATCGTTTTGATAAAAATGACAAGACAGGCCTTAAGATTTATTTTGCTAATAACCCAAAATAAGAGAAGTAAAATAAAAAATGACATACTAAAGTATATAATGAGTAATTTATTATCATACCATCAAAATCCTCTTCTTTAATATACAATCCTATTTATTGAATTAAACAAATGCCATAAATAAATTACTCAAGAGATGATAATAGTCAGATTCTTTAAATCTTTACTCTAAATTCAAATCTATTAATTCTAATCAAAATTTCTAGCATTTTTAAAGAGAAAGAGGTATCTCATTTATAATTGAAACTGTGAATAATTTTATTTGACATTTATTACATACCATTTTCTATGTTAATATATGATTAATTAAAATTTGATAACAGATTCTTTATAGATTTAGGTTTACATTCAATTTTAACAATTATTTGAGTTAATTTCTACTTCTCAATCTATCCATCTTAACTCAACTTAAACTTAAAAATTTTACATACATAAATTTGAACACAATTATTGGTGAATTAAAAATCAACTATCTTCAAAGTGGAAATTTGAATATATTGTTTTTAATATAATTATGAAAAATAAAAAAATGATTAATTTAATTGAAAACCTAAAATTAATTAAGAGACTCATCATAAACAACTGTGTCTAATAATTATATGGCCACTAAATATAACAGGATAATGTTTAAATTTATAATTAAATAAGATCATCATAGTATTCATGAGGTATATCCCATTACAATTCATACTTATAAATCCAAATTAAAAAATTAACTTCCATTTTTCTTATTAATCTTTTGTTTTAGAGTATACTTGATATATTTGCGGGTCGATTAATAATAAATATCTAAGTATTCTTGGTATAAATCTAATATATATATCAATATTAGGATGAATCATAAAGCTGAGATTTGAAATAGAATTTAAATTTCTGAAAAATTAGAATAAAAAGAACTTTTATATAAATAAAGTAATCTAATTTGACTATTAGATTTTTTTAACTTTTGTTATTATGATTTTCTTAAAATGTTGTAAAATATAATTAATAGTTATAGTTTTACATAATTTATATAGAAAAAGATTATTTAATTGTTATGTATTTAATTATATATATAGTATTTAAACAATTTATTTATATGGAGAATTAATCAAATTTATTCAATTATATTGTTGATTATAAAATACTTAAAAATAATATAATAATTATCATTACCTAAAAATTTAAATAAACTAAAAATTTTATTTTGATGCTAGTCTACTAAAATATTTATTACCTCTTTTTCATTTATAAATTAAACAACAATCACTTAATTATTATAAGTTATATTCTCAATCATTTTATTGTTTTTCCATTTTATTTCATCAATTTTGTTGAATATTTTAAATATTCATATTATTATTTACATATTTACTATAATTTACATAACTATATCTTCTAAGATGTGAGATTTTATTTGTAGATTAGATATTTAATCAATTTAATGTAATCTTTAGACCTATTTTATAATTAACAATCAATAATCATAATCTTAGGAATATAGAAAATATATGTCTATAATTAATTTAATTATGGATTTCAATTATGATGAATTCGGATCTAATTAATTAAAAAGGATTAAATCTCATTTCAATTAAATTATCATAATATTATTACAAATGAACTCATAATTACAGTTAAACAAACCATTCAAACCCAAAGGAGATATTGAGGATGTTCAAATCAGAGATCTTTCAGTATAGTTTAAAGCACAAAATTAAATCTGTAAATTTAAAAGAACTTAAAGAGTGGACTTTATATCAACATTTTACACTGGCAACGTACCTTCATCATCTAAAACACCTACCAAAGGAATACTTAAGTATTGATTTAATTACTATCCTTATTACTAATATAAATTGACATTTTCAAATATTTGATGATTACTACTAAGTTTTCTCATTCGGATTTTCTTTTTTTCTTATAGAATATTTGAAATATTCCATAATTTCTATTTATATTTTAATCACAACTAAAACTTTTTAGATTTAAAGTATTATATATATATATATCTAATATATTCTAAGAATGAGTATAATTATATTATTGATTTATGATTTAAAAAACTTAATTGTGAACAAACGAATTTCAAATATTTTTAATATAATTTATTTAATACTCCTTGATCAAACAATAAAGGTTATTTTAATAAATTCATAAGCACAATACTCTTTGATATCCATAAATTCATATTTGTTATTAAAATTATGGTAAAAACATACTCTATGTAAAGAACAAAATCATAATTAATATTTAATTATAATTCTCATGAGTAATTATATACCTGAGACAAAAACTATTGGAAAATTTGATCCGCTTATATAAAACAATTTTGATAAAGTTATCCCATAATTAGGATAATTACAATAATATTATGCTTTGGTTAGTTATAATTGAAAAATCTGACATTTATTAGCATATCATATAAACAACCAGAAATCCATCAATTTATTCAAATACTTATCAGAAAGATAGCTATTTCATCTTAATCGTTTATGGATGGTAAAGATATTAGATTTTCTTATGGAATTTAGATGCTAAGAAAGATTCTAATGAAAATTAAAATATTTATTAACTTTTATAGACTTACTACATCAAATACCAAAGTTTTCTAAAGAGAATTATCAATTACTAAGAAATTGGGTTTGACTTAGATGAAATACATAATATAAATAAAAAACCATCACCAATATGTTCTGGCATATAAATAAAAATCATGATAACATAGTCCTAAACCAATTACTAGTGCTCCACCCACACTGTGAGAGAATGCATAAAATGTTCTTCCTCCACTGAGACCTCCATGTATGATACCTCCAAATAATCCAAGAAGAGCACCCCATCTAAATGTAACAGGCATTTTGTATTTCAATTTTCTCTCAATTCTTCTTCTTTCCTACTCTGTATTATCCATAATTAATTTTATAATATATATAATTATTTTAAAATGGGCAATTACTATGTCATTAAAAGGATACTTATTCTATTTTTCATTAAAATTATGAATCTATTTGTATAAGAATATATTATTGTGATAAGTACATATTTCAATAATTATTCTTATAAAAAAAATTGTATTTTACAAAGTTTAAATTGATAATATAATCAATAAATAGGATTCTATAAGATTCCATTTATCAATGCTTAAGGTCTTTTTAAAACCATTAATTAAATTGATCAATAGATATATTTTATAGTATGTGGTTGAAATTTAAAAAAATTTAGAATAACATTCATAGTTTTATATAAATTGTAAAAATGAATCAAAGTTTATGTAAATCTATTATCAATTAATTATATAATTATTGTAAATATAAGTAATATTAAATTAATATAAGTCTACACAAGATAGATGTTTATAATTTATGAACATTTTTAAAGTAGTATATGAAAAAATAGAGATTTTAAGAAATGACATTAGAACTTGTTTCAATTGTTATTTAAAATATATATTTTGAATAAATATATTAAAATTTAATAATACTCAATTTTTTTCTGATTATTTCTTTTCTTCCATATATTTTTAAACAAATTCTCTAACCATTTTTTCATATTAAGGTAAATCCTTTTCAAAAATTTTAGCTAATTCACTATTTGTAGGTGATTTAGGATTAGGACGATAAAGGAAATCTTCCAATGCTTTTAATATTTCTACACATGTTCTAGCTGGTGTATATCCAATTTTATCATTTAAAATGTCAATACAGGTTTTACCTGAGGAATATATGTTCATATGCATAAATCTATTTTTTGAGTATACCTTCCATGTATATACAGGGGATGTAGCAGGATAACTTTAAGGGAATTCTAAAATACCAGAGAATTCTCCTCCTTGCCAAATTGTATTTTCTCTTCCATATATAACAACATTCCATTTAGTATAGTTTGCAGAATTATTTTCATATTAGACTTAGACTGTCATGTTTTCAATAATGCCTTCATCAATGGCAGATTAGACATCTTCGAATTCTTTTTCCAATCTCTTAATCATCTAATTATTTATCATTATTATTATATTAATAGAAATTCAATTAAATCTTGATCATTTATAAGTAATGGAATTTCATGTGGAAATTTTACTTGATTATTAATTTATTCTATTTCCCTCAAAGCTGTTTCAAGTGACTCATGGGATAACTAATATATAATAGAATTATAATAATAAATTAATTTGAATTGATTAGCTTCATAATAGGAAACATTGAATTGATTATGAAATTTCTTATTTACTTATTATATTTATTTAATTATTTTAGTATGATGATCATCATATTGTGGTATTAAGATGATAAGAGTATTTTCATTATATTAAATGTATGGTTATGATGGAGATTTATTTTATTCTTTTTTGATGAATGAATATTTTTAATGAAAATGTTTGGAATCTAAGTTTATGAAATCATTATAAAAAGTAAATATAGTTGTTAGATTATGTAAATCTCCATTATAAATAGCATTAGCATTTGAATCCAAATTAAAAATTGTTAATTTAGTTTCTTAATCAAATTTTTCAATTCCTAACATCTATAATCTATCTTCATTTAAATTTCCATCAATCCATGCAAATCTTAAAGATGGTAATTATTGAGCAATCTTTTATATTTTAACTAAATAATTATTATTATTATCTTAAATTGAATCAATAACAATTAAAGCATGTCCTAAATAATATTTGGAATTCTCAAATTTCAATTCTTAAATTAATGGTAAAATTGGTTAAGCCAATAAATCATCAACAAATTAATAATTATTTGGATATCTTGATATTAAAATATGGGAATAAGTATTATATTTTGAATAAATATTTTTTATTTCTTATTTTTACATTAAGAATCCAAATTTAATTCTATAATTAAAGAGCTTCTTACATTATTATGTAAAGAGTTTAATTTCATCTTGATATTCAACTTAATCATAAAATAATCCAATAATATAAATGTCATATAATGATTGTTAATTATATTAATTATTAATGACAGTCTCTATCTCTTGAAAAGAATTATATTGATGAAATTGTAATCCATTTAAGTAATAATGAACAAAGGAAATAAGTGTTTCATAGTTTAAAATATCATTATAATGATATATGACACCAGATTTGGTTTCCAGAAAAATTGCTGGAAATCGTTTTATTTGATATTGTTCAATGAATTAAGCATTATCTAATATTTGTTACATAGATAAATACCTTCTAATTCAATTCTCAAGAAGTTTACTAGTTTTGGTAGATCTTACAGTAATTATTTGAAAATGACTTCATGAATGCAACAAGCTTTGCATGCTTTATGAGTAGCAAGAAAGAGAGTAATCTAATATTTAGAATTGTTAATTGGCTTGGAAACTGAAAAATATGGTAATCCTGGGGAACAATTGCTAATCCTGAGATGTTGATTTAATTCTTTAGTAAAAATCAATGTGAAACAGATGAACAAAATCATTATTTATTTTAATTGATTCTTTTCCTTTGAATATTTTATGTTCTCTCTGTCAGTTGTTCAAAATATGGACTATGTTATTGATTGTTGAATTTCAATTTCTCTGAATATGGCTTAATCTAAATTGGAACAAGACGCTTATTTGATTTATAACGATCATATCGTTCTAATAAACCATCATGTGAAAGATCTCTTTCCATATGATTGACCCAACTGAAATCTAAATTAGGTTTAGATATATTTTATTATAGTGAAGTAAATGACATTATTTATTCTTAGAGTTCTGTTATTTTTTTCTTAAACTCTTAGACTTATTATTTTAGTTATACTTCAGTAATTTGATATGTCTCATTTAATAAAGTTTGTCTTTATACTCTCTCTTTTAATGAAACAATCTAATTATCCTTCTCTTTAATTTAATCAGTTAGATTTTGATTTTATTTCTACAAAAACATAATTTCTTCCTCCAATTATGAGATTATTTATGAATCTAAATTGATTTATACAGATTCATCTTAAATTTGATTTGATTCTGTCAATCTACTCACTAATATTTGCTTCTCTTCAATACTTTCCTATTGTTAAACAATCGATTAATATAAAAATTGAGATTCAATATCTGATTCTTACATTAATATTTATAAACATTTAAACCCAAGTAAAATACTTTTGTATGTTTATAACAATATATCTATAAATATATATTAATTAATTCATGGTTGTTCAAGACTCTTATTACTTTATATCTCTTCTGAAGCATTCTATAATGTAGTATAATCACCTTTCATAGCCATCATATAAGCAGAAGCACCTGCATGTATACTCATTTTCTTTATCAATTTCCTCTTTTCTTCAGCTGATTATGGTTTACCATCAGTAGATTTAAATGAACTTGTAGAAATGGGCTAAACAAATTTATCAATGACTGCCATTGCCTTTTCAGTTTGACTAGTAGATTTTGGGATTATAACTATATATATATATAATAATTTTATATACCTGACTGACTCACTTTTTCACTTCTTATAAATTCATGTTATTATTTTGATAATTGATATTACATCTCATCATTACATGCTTACAAATTATTAACTTTGTTTTCAAGTGTTAACACTGTTTCTTTTAGTTCTGATATTAAAGTTTCTTTCTATTATAATTCTTCTTAATATTTTTAAATCAAATCAGTTTCATCAGGCATAGTTGGAAGATTGCAATTAGCTGATGATACAGAAACTTTAGATTCAGATAATTTATTTGGAGTCTCTGCTTAATTTAATTACATAATTAAGAATTCTCTTTTTCTTTTATAATAATTGCATCGTTTCTCTAGAAATCTATTTTTACCCATTAGTTTTTCAATCAATTCTTATTGATCAACCTCACATTAAACTTCAGGAATTGGATGTAGATTCATATACTTTTATATAAATTTTATTTTGTATTTAATTATTCACTATACTCTACTTAAATTCACCCCCTTATTAAATAAAAAAAGAAGATAATGATATTTGAAATCTTATTATATTAAATTGAATTTATTAATTTATACACTTTATCTATGTAATTCTATCAATAAATATTCTGGTTTTTAAGTTTATTAGACATTTAATCAATCTATTAATCAATATGTTTATGGTATTTCTAATAAACTGGTTGAACAAGCTTTTAATAATATTAAACAATCTTACTGCCTAATACACCTTCTCTGCCCCATTCAATGAAGGATGGAATAGAATAACAAACAAAGCCAATCTAATAACATGATAAAATGGAATAAATTCTAAAATAAATCCTATACTTGAATCTGCTAATGTAATAAGTGAAAATAATATCCAATAAGAAAGCCATTGTTTGTCATCAGTCTTCTCTAAAATTTCATATTTATTATATATACCGCCTGATTCTATTGCTTTAATGCTTCTATAAGCAGGATATATCATAGATACAAATGTAGATAGAAAACGTGCTGCAATTCCAAGTACAATACTAGCCAAGGAAACTACTCCACAAATAAACACAACATGAGCAGGACGAACTCCTATTTTTTTACATGGTCCCTTGAGTATTTCAATTTAATCCATATTATCAAGTCCACACTTTGAAACGAAAGGGTCAAGTTTTTCTAATAAAATGTTCATTATATTAAAAATTTAATTTTTTCATATCAAATTTATTCACTTTCTATTCACAATCTAACTATTCTATCCAAATTATCATTTAATAATTTCTAAGCCTCTTAAACTATAATTATTAAATAATTTAACCTATCATCATTTCTATCTTATAATTTTTAACCTACTTCCTTTACTCCTTCCATCTTTACATTCAACTCATATTCCTAACTTTAATAATTTACGCTTTCCTCTTCCCAATGCTTCATCTCTTCAAGTAAATTATCCTTCTCAATTAGACTATGTCCATCTTGAGCATTTGCATGTACACGCTCTATCAATTAATCTTATCAATTCTAAAATCTCTTTTAATAAGCAAATTAATCATTCTCAAATAAACCATCAATATTTATTATTATTAGTTCAAAACTTTGATTCTTACATTCATACTTTCTACTGACAATCTTAATTCCTTTACTTCATTTACCAATCCTTATAAACCAGCTTCGTATTGTTATTATTTTTGATTAAAATATTTCTCATCTTCAGCTTGGTCATCAGATAAATGTTTTCTTAGCTCTTCTACAAGATCATTTAAATTTTATAAAGTCGCTCCCTTTTAAGCCATCATTAATAATTCAGCAAACAACCTACCACCAAATTCACTTGATTTCGCTTTTACACTGTTACACCAACATTCATACATATGTGTTGAACACTTCTGTAAATACTCCATGATCTGCTGTCTATAACATTACATTTTCTGCTATCACCAAAACTAAATATAATAATCCAAGCACAAGTTTTCTCATACACGTTTTTGAAATAATTAATAAAAATCTTTAAAATAACATTCCTCATTTACTAAATATCAAATTTTTGAAAATTTATTTATTTCATTTTATTCTCTTTCCTACCTAGAAATAATAATGTAATATATATTATTAGTACTATCGAAAAATTTTTATAAACATTATAATTAGACAAATATTTGATTTTCTAGATAAAAAATCTTATTAAATATAAGAATATAAAATCCTTTTAATCTATTATATTACTTTATTAACATTTTGTTTTGATATTGAAATATTCTAATTCTATAATTATACTCTTTTAATTAGATTATCATTTATAAAAAGATATAATTTATTAGAATGTATAAATATTAAGAATAATATAATGGACATATGAAATATTCATATAAGTTTTGATTTAAAAATAGAATTCTAAAAATCTTTTTAAAAATTAAATAAATATAATCTTTATAATATATTTTTAGAAATGATTTCACAAAATGTGATTTATTAATGTTAGTGGAAAATATTAATAAATAAATTGTTTCATTTAATATTTTTGCTTTATACATGGGTTTATGAAAAATTCTTTAATAGTATTTAAATTAAAATAAAATATTTGATATTGTAAAAGTGTTTTGATGGCAGAAATATTTGAAAGAGCAAAAAGAGCAACAGAATAATAAATTCAAATAGCAGAATATTCATGCGAGTAAGTATTTGAGAGATATAATTTAGGTATTGTTTATAATCTGATGTTAATGCAGTGGCATAATGTTTATAATGTAAAAGATGGTATTGTAATTGTGCAACACAAAGTGGTTCACATATAATTCTACATTTGATTAAGAGCAAGCATAATTAAATTAGTTTACATGAATAAAACAAAGTGTAAATTACAACAATAGAGTGTTACATTTGTGAATAGAAAAATATGTTCACATTAGGATAAGTTAATGGTATTGATTAATTTAGATTAATGATAGTTAAATTAGAGGACGAGGAAAACATCTTGATTCTATGTCGAGGATGCCTTCCATTAAAATAATCAGATAAAATTACTTGGGATCCAAATGATTATTAGCCACTAATCAAAGATAGAAGTATTTAAGATTGGTTGTTGGGATAAGGAGAGAAAATAAATGTATATAATAATATAATAATAATATTAGTCTCGTTTAGTTACTTTGGATCGAATAAATCAATTTGAAGAGGAGAAAAAGAATAAGCCAGGATTAAAATTTGAAGATTTTGATAAAAAAGGTCCAAATTAATCTTTGAAGGAGGTATAATTAAGATATAGAGATGCTAATCATTATTAATAAGTATTTTCTCCATTGGTGAAATTGGAAGAAGATTAGGATAAATAAGTTAAAGAAGGATAAGTTTTATAAAGTGTAAAAGTGAAATGGGATTTAAGTTTAAAGAAAAAGAGATTGGCTTATTTCTTGTATGGAGGTAGAGAAGAATTTGATACAAATACTTTATAAGGAAATGAAATGTAATTAAGTTTAAAATCTGGAAATTCAATTTGGTAATCAAAGGGAACAGTTGTTAAAGTAATAAATAATGAAGAAATTTGTTTGGAATTACATTAAAATGATCCTCCACCTAATAATGCAGATGAAGGTTACACAGTAGAATGTATATGGGTGTCAACTACATTTAAAAGGATGTAAATGGGTTTGAAGACTTTTAATTTAAATGAGAGTTCAACTAGTAATTATATTTATAAAATGATTTTGGGAAGAATAGATACATTGGCTCCTCCAACTAAAATTGAAATAATACCTTAAAAGTTATCTGCTCCCAATCTACCTGATTTGAATGTGTATTAAGCAGATGCAGTTAAGAAAGCATTAAAATCTCCTTTATCATTAATATAAGGACCTCCAGGAACTGGTAAGACAGTTACAAGTGCAACTATTATTTATCAATTAGTAAAGGCATTAGAAAAATAAAAATAAAGAGGATAAATTTTGGTTTGTGCACCTAGTAATATTGTTGTTGATTAATTGGCTGAGAAAATAAATAAAACAGGTGTTAAAGTTGTTAGATTATGTAGTAAAACAAGAGAAAGTGTTAGTACAACTATTGAGTTTTTAACATTACATAATTAAGTGAGAAGTTTGGATATTCCATAATATCATTAATTATAAATGTTTTATGAATTATTTGATTAATAAGGAGAATTAGATTAAAAGGATGAATAAGTATTCATAAGAATGAGAGATGAGGCAGAAAAGGAAATTATTGAATAGGCTGATGTTATATGTACTACATGTATTGGTTCAGCTGATAAAAGACTTAAAGATATGAGATTTCCATTTGTTTTAATTGATGAAGCAACTTAAGCAATAGAACCAGAATGTTTATTACCAATGATTAAGGGAGCTTAACATGTTATATTGGTAGGTGATCATAGATAATTGGGTCCAGTTGTATAAAGTAGAGAAGCAGCTTCAGTAGGTTTAGATAGAAGTTTATTTGAAAGATTGGTTTAATTAGGAATAAGACCTGTTAGATTGTAAGTATAATATCGTATGCATCCTGAATTAACAGTTTTTCCATCTAATACATTCTATGAAGGTACCTTATAAAATGGAGTTACTATAAGTGATAGAACACATGCTGGTAATTTTCCATGGCCAAATAAATAAAAGCCTATGGTATTTATTAATGTGTCAGGACAAGAATAATTATCCGCTTCAGGCACTTCATATTTGAATACTCAAGAAGCTGTTGCTGTTGAATAAGCAGTTTATTATCTATATTAGAATACAGTAAAATTAAATAAAATTGGAGTTATCACTCCTTATAAAGGATAACGCACATATATAATTTCTTATTTATAAAAGAATGGACAATTACCTTATAATTAATACAGAGATATAGAAGTTGCATCAGTAGATGGTTTTCAAGGTAGAGAAAAGGATTTCATTATTATATCTTGTGTCCGCTCAAATGATACATAAGGCATAGGTTTTTTGACAAATCCTAGAAGATTGAATGTCACAATAACTAGGGCTAGATTTGGATTGATAATCATTGGAAATGCAAGAGTATTATGCAAAGTATTTAATATATTATATATATATAATAGGATAATCTATGGAACAATATGTTGAATCATTTTAAAGATTAAGATTTATTGATGGAGGGTTCATTGCCTAATCTTAAACCATGTCATATGAAATTTAGACCACCATAAAAGTTTATTCCAGAAAGACGTAATAATACAATGAATGGAGCAAATGATGATAAGAGTGTTTATTCTTATGCATAGACAGGTATATATTTTAATAAATTATTTTATAGATAATCTTAATTAATTTGATCATGATTTGGGTGATTTCCCATTAACAAAAGGGATTAGGAATAGTGAATTTGGTTTCAATTTTATACCTGATACTTAAGCATTTATAAAAGTAGCTGATTAGAATGAAATAAGAAAAAATTAAGATTTAAAAGAGATTGATTAGGCTAATATAATAAATATTGGACAATATCCTTCATCAATAATGTAAATTGGAACATTCTAAAATGATTTATAATTAGATATTTGATCAAAAATGATTTGATCTAAAATTTGAAAATAATTATATTTAATTAATATTCATAATATTCTTGGTTGTTTATCATATTATTTAACATAATATTGATTAAATTAATAAATGATAATACATATTTGACTATATTAATCAATTTAATTTAAATACAATTAAAGTTACCTTAAATTATTTTGAAAATATTATAAATATGAATAATATTCATATTTAAGGGATTTTAATCATAATATAAATAATATCATTTTTTAAAGACTTTGATTTTTTTTTAAGAAGTAATTTGACTTTTTAATTCCATTACTGCTCTTCGAGGAGAATTCAATAAATAAACTGAGAATTTATTTTATTCTCGTTTAGAATTAATAGATGGTAATTTGATATGTTTTGAAGGCTTTGGAGAATTCATAACTCTAATTGTAGTACAAGATTAAACAAATTACTAGACTGTCTTATTTACATTAGAATGCATCATTCCTTCAGTAAGTTTTCGACTATGCATAGAATTATTTTTTATTTTTATTTTAGGAGTTGTGATTTATAATTATTTATCTTGTAAATGTTTTTAATTTTATTCTTCATCTGAACTTGTTTTGGATTCATTAATAATATTGTTATAACTATTAAGCACAAAGCTAGGAGATTTTGTGAAATTGACAAATGATATTAAGGCAGCTTCATAAGTTTAAGAATTTAATGAACTTTCTAAAAAGCCTTTCGATAACTTAAGTTCATTGTTATAGAAAAATTCATATTTTATTTGCTGATCGTCTTTTGTTAAAAGTCTCTTGCCTTTTCTAATTGTTTGCTGTAATTCTTTTGTTATAGAAATTGTTTTAGCCTTTCTTAACTTAGGTGCATTCTAAATAATTATTGTATTATTTTCTGATTATCCAACATTTAAACTTGTAGAAGTAAGATAAGTCCCTTTTCTCCTTTACATTTTTCGTTTTCTTTTCTTACAATGATGAGCTCTTATATATGTTTGAGGATGTTAAGCATTTTATCTTTCTTGAAAAGGTCCTACACCTCCACATTCAGAGCATCTACAACTTTATCTTCTAAAAGGTTTGTTGGGTATTGATTTACCAATAGAAGGAGATAGAAAACTACGTTTCTTATATACCAGCTATAATAATTCTTTTCTGCGAGATCTATTCATATATATATATATATATAATAAATATATAATTTTATATTAAATCTATTTTACTTCAATTATGATTCTAAAAATAAAATTAGAAATGTTAGAAAACTAATTTGTTTCTAATTTAAAATAAAAAAAAGATCTGATTATATATTTATAGATATTAAACATTCAATCCCATAATCTTACTTTCATATCATCAATTTTAGTAATTATTGAATCATTATCTAAATGTCTTAATATTTGATTAAATTGATTAGTTGATTCTGGTATTGTTGCTTCATCAGATTCAAAATGAAAAAATGGAATATCAATAAATTATCTAAAATGAGGATTCTCACAAACCTATGGATTTTTAATCAATTCATTAAGATATTAGAGTAATAATGCACTTCTTTAATTTGGATTAACATTCTATTATAAAGCATTAGATTTTTATGGTAATAATGGTAAGAATTAAACCCTATATTATAATGAATATATAAATATACCTCTATTTTAATATACTATGTAATTCATCAAATTAAGAATATCTTTTAGATATAATGTGATATGAATTAAAGACATTATTATTCACAATTTAAAATTAATATTTAAAATATTTATCACCATTTTAATCTTAAACATCTTCAAATTATAAAAATTTAATAGTAGATTATATAACTTATTCTACATCTTTTTTAATTCTTTATTGTTATTTTTTTAAATAGATTTCCTAAAGTAAAGTAATACCAACAAATTTAAATAATATTAAACAATTATGATTACTTCTATCATTTAATAATACTTTTAAATATATTTCTAAATCTTTTTATCTCTCCTCTATATCTTATTCTGTCAATTTACCAATACTTTTTTATGGAAATAAAGATGAATATTTAATTCCTTATTATTTTAATTATTCATTCAATTCATGAAATTCTCTAAATCTCTTTTATGAAATTAATATTTCTTAATTTATTTTGATCATTATAATATATTAAATATATGAATCACCATGTTATTTAATTGTTTAATGTTCTTTTATTTTAACATTCATATATGGAATATATTATTATTATAATTCCCATTTCTTATATTAAAAAATAGTTTATTATTATTTTTTTATTAATGATTATTTATGAAGTTATCTGTTTTATAATTTAATATCATCTAACAATTCTCTCTCCAATTCAGGTAATTCTATAAAATCCATAAAAGATTTAGATATTAAATCTATTTTACTCATAATCACATTTAAATATTTTTGGATATTATTAATTAATTACAAATCACTACTGTCTGATATTTACTTTATTAAATAATTTAATTCAAGTTAATCATTATTATGTTATTCAAAATAAACTGAACATTCAATTAATAATTATTAATGCATATCAAATAATTCTGATACTCTTTTTTTCAATTTCATACATTTCTCTTTATCAGCAAAATGACTATATATAAATAATATTATTTTACATATTTAATTTTATTTCTACATCATTATCCACAATATTCCACATCTTTTTTAATTCCACAGAAAAAAATTAAGTTTGAAGATCTATATATTTAATAACATTAAATGTTTACTATTTAAAGTTGATATTCTTAGCTTTTACTCTTATGATGAAACATCAATATCTGGTAATTCACTATTAAAAAACCCTAAATCTTCAAATTCTACCAAATCTTGTTTTCTAATAAAGAGTGTATATATCAAAAGAATTGATATTAGTATTAATCTGCCCAAAATTAGAATCGTATCCAAAAAGTAGCCTTAATAATAAATGATTAAGCCAGCTATTATTAAAAGTGCAATCCAATTAGCTATCCAATAAAGTTTATGGGCAAAAAATAAAGGTACTCTCTTCTTATACTCAAAGATCTAAATTGCAAGGTTTTTGTACCATGAGCAATATTTAAAGAATTAAAGTAATCATGTTGACGAATAGTATAATCAAAATATAGTTTTGATATTCTTCACAATTAATGCAGAGAAATATAAATGCACACTAAGTACTTTAAATACCTAGACTACTTATTAATATGAGATTGTATACCTATATCAAATAATAATAGGCTCACACGAAATTTGAGAGAACAGTTCAAGTTAATTTCATCAGCTACAATGTCTGATTTCAATTGGCAATAACGACAAATCATCATAATTACATATATTATGGAAACTGAGGATGGAACAATAAATGCATATGCATATAACTACATAATTAAATTAATTAATATGAATTTAATACATTAAATAATCTGAAGAAATACTATTCAAAATATTAGAAATTGATATTCATCACATTAATAAAAAGATCAATTCTACATTTACTCATAAATTTTTTGAGTAATTATGTTGTAATCAAATTATCAAATAATGATGAATACTTAAATGCAAAGAAAACTAAAGAAACTATAATTGAAGATCTATTCTCTAAATATTGTTAAACATTCATATCCTATTTCCCTTTTTGGATAATATGCTTAACAATTATAATCAAATAATACCACCAATAGATATAGATTATAATCATATTTAATATATCTGATTCCAAAAATATTTTGGATTAATTCCTTATAGAATATGAATTGATTACCTAAAAATATCAAGTTGGATGAAGATTCCCCTTACTATAAATATCATTAAATAAATTTTAAGAAAATTTCTAACTAATTGCTAAAACAAATTAGAGTGAAAACTATTATTATTATTTAGTGTTATGTAATAATAATAATCTATAATATTAAGCTAAATATCTTAATACTATAGATTATTACAAATAATCAAAGTCTACTTAAAATATTTATTAAAGACAATTAAATATGATGCTTTGATAAAAGAGTACAAATAAATTGAATTTTTGAAATAGTCATTTTGATAATTAGAATGAAATTTGTATAATCCTTATGATTATTTTTATATAGTAAATTTTGATTATTGTTTAATTGAATTATTTTAAAAGTCATTTAATAAAAATATTAAAATGACAGATTTATTCGTTAATTTTCCTTAAATTTATTGCAGTAAGCATCCTTGTTATCAATTAAATATGGTTTGTAGACATCCAAATTGCAATAATAAGGGTGCAATATGTTGTAGATGCTAATTAAAATATCATTGTGATAATGGTCATACATTGGAATCATTTGTTCCATTAGATGAGGTTTTAATATTGTGTCAGACATAAAATCCAAAAGCAGAATATTTTGAAGATTTAAGTGTTGATGGGATATTGGAAGTTCAGTAATTGTAATCTACTCTATCAAATATCAACAATTCAATTTAAGAATAATTGAAGAGAGAATTATTAATCTTAGGTTAATATTAAAAGCCATTTAAAGATATTTATGGTATAATTACTCATTATTCATAAATTGATGGTGATATCTCAAGAACTGATGATGGAACTTAAGGAGGTATGAAATCTGATTTCTTAAATATTATGCAATATATAGCAAATAAAATAATAATTGTAGATGGAGAATTTACAATAGATTAATCAGATATGAATAATTGTTTAACAGAAATCATAGAAAGAAAGAAAAAGAACTTAAATATATTGCAAAAATTAAATAAAAAATCATAAAAATAAGCTAAAATAATATCAGCTTTATTTTAAACAGGTTGTTCTTTTGGATTAGATTAACATATTCCAATTTCTTAATTTGATTCATGGGTATAAATATATAATGCTTAATATTTTGAAAATACTAGTTATTAAGATATAGTATCATTAGTTATACCTCAAAATAGTTTAATAATGGTTGGTATCTTGAAAGAGAAATATTTGGAATTCTGTGCAATAGATAGATATAAAGCTATTTTCAAAGGAAAAATTAATTCTTATTCAAAATTAAAATGGACTTTAAATTAAGTTATTTTTGGATGTGAATGTCTGAAATGGAATTTAAATCAATAATTATTGGATTAATAAATAGATTAAAAAGAATACTTGTATCATTTAAATGATAGAAGAGTAATATATTATTTAGAAATCTGATTATATATATTTAATTTCAAAACTATTTATTAAGTATTATTTAAAATGTAATAAATATTAATCAAATTCTGCATATATAGAATCTAATCTAGATTTATAAATTTCTTTTTTAATAATATTAATTGTACTATTTATGATTATATTATATAATAGTGAATAAAGTAAAAATAATCATTAAACAAAATATTTATTACAATATTTATTTATATTCAAACTAATCCTTTTAATGTAGCAGCTGTATTCTTTCTTTAATGAAATTATTGTTTTTAAGTAAGTAATTCAGTTGAAAAGTTTTTAGTTATTGTTCTTGGTGTTTTGCTGAAAGATGATTAAATAATTGTATCAATAGGATTTCTGGAAGTTAAATGATTTAAATAAGGAGAATGTTAGATGGCACAAGGACTATTTTCTGTTTAATGAGATATTTTTAAATATGTTGAACATCTTGGGGACTTCTACTCATCTCCTTTTGAGAATCTTAAGGGTTGAATATTAGTATATGAACTCTAATTAATCTTCTAGATCTTTGGCAATGTTATTTACGAATCTAATTTGATAATTATTAAGAATACCTTTATCATGTAATTTTTATTGCAAATATATTCTTACTGATTATCTTTATTTGTGTCTTTAATCAATAATTTTGGCTTATATAGATTGAGAATGCATATTCATTTGATGTTTCTCATCATGAAAATTTAGTTAATGTTATTATTATTGTGGAGTTAAAAGGGGAGATCCATCTAAGAATACTTTTGTTTTATATCTGAACATCTTTTTCTATTTGTCTAACAATTTTTGTTTTCTTCTCTTATAAATCAAATAGAGAATGCAATAGACTGCATTTTAAAATCTTAAGTGCAATCTCTGTGATCTTACTACTGACATTTATGTTCGAAATAAACCGAATTTTTTTTAGAGATTTTTCATTTTCTTATTAGGCTTACTGCAATCGAAGCAGCAACAACTCTTATTGTCTTCAATCATAGTTGCTCTTGAAGACTCTGAACTACCCATATGTCTAAGCATTACCTATCTGAAGACATATGATCTAAGTTTTTTTAAGACATTGCCCTTGTATGTAAATTTAAGGGATGAATGGCCTTAGAGTATGTCTTTTTTGGCGACTTCTTTCTGGTGTGTTATTTATTCGTTATCAGAATCCCAGTTCTCTAACGATGATAGGATTGTGGTTTTCGGCGATAATCCATTCTTGTTTTAATTTTTGTTAGTAAATATATATATATATTTATATATATATAAATATATATGTCTGATTATGTATGTATAATTAATATGAATTCTATAAAGGAGACTTGATAATATAAATATTATTTCTGTAAATCATTGTTTCATATTAATTAAAATTCTGATATCATCAATGGGCATGTGTACATCACAACAATAAAAGAAACCTAAGCCTCTTATTAAATTAATCAAAATCAAAATGGATGATAGTCATTAATCAAAAGACATCCAAGAAGCCATTCAAATATGGAATAAAATTGATGGGGTCATTACAAAAATGAAATCTACATCTAAAATCTCTAATAATTTACAAGAAGATGCAAATAAAATAAATAAATTACTTAAATCTCATCATAATTCTAAGTTTCTTGAGACTTTCTTTTCATATTATGACCAATTCCAATTAAAGATAAATGATCAAATCATTTAACATTAAGAATTATGGATTCAATATGAAAGTATCTTCAGCAACTTAGACTCGCTTAATAGTAAATTCACTAAGTTGGGATATGTATCTCGTAATGGATGTACATAATCCTTTACTAAATATAATTGATCTATCATATGTATACAAAAATGATAATTATAAATAATCATAATATATCAATAGAGTATCAAAATATCTATTATTATATTAGAATACTAAAATTTGATAATAATTATAATAAAAATATCATGCAAAAAGCTTAATAAAAAAAAGTCTTATTACTTAAATAAAAATGAAACCATATAAATTTCATAATTAATTATTTATTTACTAAATTTCTTCTATTTTTTTATATAGATTTATTATATAAAATTATTTTAATTAATATTAAATAATCTTAAAATAGTAAATAATTATCATATTTTAAATCATCCTTAAGATAATCCTTTGTGATGAAAATGTAACCCATTATTATTTGATCCACTAAATACATTTTTGACACCAAATGTTTAAAGAGTCAATTTCACTTATTCAATTTTATCTGATTTTATTTCAATAGCTGATTTATGATGACCACTCATTCCTTAATTCCAAATATTTTCTACATTCTTTTACTTTTAATATCTTCTAAAAAAGTCATCATTATTTGTTTATTTTAAGAGACTTCCCACACTTCCTTATTTAAAAAAACTTTTAGGATTATTATTATTATTAGTTTGTTTAGCAGTCCCATTTACATAAAATTAACTTACAGATGGACTTTCAGAATCACGTTTAATATCTTTTTGTCCAGATGACATTCTATCTAAAAATGACGGTTTTGCACTGTGCAAAGATCCTTTACTTGCAGATGTAACTGATCCTCTAGGGTTAGAATGAAAAGATGTTCCATTTCTTGTTCCTTAATGTGAATTAAGATTCTATTTGTATTCATAATCTTATAATTGTTTCATGAAACCTATATATATATATATATTATGATCAATACCTGAATTTGGCTCAACAATTGATCTTGCTCCTTTAACTTTTTTAAGTGCCTCTTTAAGAGAGTAACCTAAATGTTTAATCATATATGCTATGACAATTGAGGCAGATCTAGAGATACCAGCATAACAATGTACGAATACATTAGTATTCTTAATATGATCTCTTATGAAGTTTGCACATTCATCAAAATAACGATAGAGATCAAAATTGACTGCATCTTCAGCCATTATCCACTAAGTATAATATGATTTTATACTAATCTTTTCATTGATGGATCAACTCTGATTTCACTTGTATCAATGACAGCAACAATGGCATTGATAGAATGTTCTCTTAAATATTTAATATCATTGGCTGCATTGATATTTCCTAAATATAATTGTCCATAACGTGAATTCTTGTAAAGATCCACAATCAGATTCATGGGACTACCTATTGAGTTAAGATTTTAGATTAATACGATTGCTGCATGTGTTGGCAACACTTTAATTGAAGTTTAATTGGGTACAAGTTAGGCTTAAATCTAACCACTTAGACATTCGTTAAATTAACAAACAACAAATTAATGAATTTATTTATTTTGCATCAAATGCTTATAAATAAGAATTGTAATCCTTACGAATAAGATAAATGATTTTCATTATTATAGATGAACATTTTATTATTCAATATTTCTATTATAACATTTTTATGCTCATCCTATGAATGATTTTTATAAGATGCATCTCATCTTCATATTTATTCAAAAATCAATCAATATAATTGGTTTCATCTAACAATGTGTTAAATTCAGAATCAGTCAAAACAACTGAAAATTGATTTTTCTCTGATTTCCATCTCACATGTTATTACTCTCTTGCAGAATTTTTGGTACCATGATTCAAGAGGTTTCCAACAATTAAAGTAATCAAACAAATCAACACCATAGTGAGAGCCTCTAGAAAAATGTCGTTTTTAAGCATCACTTGATTAATTATAATTTTTTATAATTAATATATAAATTCAATATTCATTATATTCATAAATGGCTTTATTAAATCAAGTATCAAATTTCAAAATTGTATTGAAATACATAAATTAAACTAAATAAATTTTTAATAATTAATTTAATGTTTAATATAATATTATTTGTCATCATAATTGATGTCATAAAAGCTTTAAATCGAGATGTGAATACTTTTAGTAATTATCATGAGATATAGATCCATAAACTTCATATTGAATGGTTATTGGATTTAAATTAAAAGATAATCAATGGTACAGCAGAATATCATTTCAATGTCATCAAAAACAATATCAAAGAAATCCATCTTGATATCTATCAACTTGATATTATTATTGTTTATGATTATAATACTGGAACAGTCTATAAACATGAAATTCAATACATGGGAGAGTAATCTTTAAAACAAGGAGATAGATTGAAAATATACCTACCAAAGTCTTACAATAATGGTGATTAAATTAAATTGAGAATCAAATATGGAGTAACAGAAAAAGCTAGAGCTTTAAGTTTCATGACTAAAGAACAAACTGAATCCAAAGGTAATTAATTCTATATCATTTAGTTTTGCCTTATTTATATTCCTATTGCTAAGATAATAATTGTAGATCTATGATTCCATTATAAGACACTCCAAGTATTAAACAGTACTTTAGTGCTTTGGTTTTGGTGAAAGATCCAAGAATTAAAGTTTATATGACAGGAAATCTATTGGAAGGAAAACCGTTTAATAGAATGAATGTTTACACTGAATCTTTAACTGAATATCATATCTCATTAGATATAAAAATTCCTAGTTATCTCTTGGCAATTGTTGCTGGTAATTTGGAATAAAGAAAAGTGGGTAATCAATAAACTAGTCGTTCATATGTAATAACAGAACCAACTAGTATTGATAGAGTTGCTTTAGAATTAGAATTCTTACAAGATTATGTTGATACTCTATCTAATTATATTGGACCATATGAATGGGGAGATTATAAAATAGTTATATTACCACCTTCATTCCCTTTAGGAGGTATGGAACATCCACTTCTCACTTTTGCCAGTCCAACTATTATTGTTGGAGACAAATCAGGAGTAGGTGTTGCAATTCATGAAATTGCTCATTCTTGGGTTGGTAACACAGTTACATGTTCAGATTGGGCTAATATGTGGATTAATGAAGGATTTTGTACATTTTTAGAAAGAAAGATTCTTGAATAATATAATGGAGCAGATTATTCAAAAATGTATTCATTTTTATCAAATGATACTATGTTTTAATAGATGGCAAGATATGGTATGGATCATTCTTATTCATCATTGCATCCAAATACTTCAGGAGAGAATCCAGATGATAGTTAATCTGTAATTGAATTATTATATATTGTAGGAAGTTCCATATAATAAAGGATATTAATTATTAGTATATATAGAATAATAGATTGGTGAATAGAATTTCCAAAAAATGTTATAATAGTATATAATTTAATTCAAATGGTAATCAATTGATGAAGATATCTTTTATCGATATCTTCTATCTTGGATTTCCACTAATTTAGGTAAAGAGCATGCATCCCTTAAAGAAATTAAAACTATTTATAAGGAGTGGGTGTATGTACCAGGTAAGCCACCAAGATAGTTGGATTTCCATACAGATGCTTATGATAAAGCTATGGCTCTAGCTAAAGCTTGGTTAGATAATAAAGGTGATAAAGTTCCAGATAATGCTGAAGAATATAGAAACTATATCTATTATCAGAAGTAATAGTTTTTAAATGAAATTGCCACAAAAGTAAGACATTTAATTAAATTAGTATGGTGATATGACAGATAAAAATTATAAATTAATAGATTAGACATACTAATTATCAGATTAAAAAGATTCTAGATTACTTTATAGATGGTTAATAGGTTGTCTAAGAGGAAAGTTCTATGATAGAATGGAAGTGATTAAGAATTTTATGGGTACTCATGGAGCAAGATCATGGTTAGTAAATATGTATGAGACTTTGTTCAAAGATAAGCCAGATGTAGCTAGGGAATGGTTTATTGAATTTAGAGATTTCTATCATCCTTCAGTAGTAGATGCTCTTGAAAATGGAATATTTAAAAATAGTATAAAGAAGATTGAACAATGAAATTTTATTAAAATAATAGAATATATATAATATATTTATTAAATGATAAGAGAAAGATAATTTGAAGTAATTAAAACATAATAAGTAAATTAACACTTATTATGTACTATTTGTAGAGAAGTATTTTATAATCCAATAAGGGCAACTTGTGGGTATCATTCTTATATCATAAATAGACATACTTTTTGTGGGACTTGTTTGGTTCGTTGGATTTAGATGAAAAAAAGTTGTCCTCTATGTCGACATAGACTAGAACGAAACTATTAATTTGATAAAGACATTCTAGCAACTAAAATTGTTGGTGATATAGAGGTTAAATGTTTAAGATGTTAATCATGGGAGGGAACATTGGCTTAATTTAAGTAACATAAAAAATCATAATGTACTTACATATCTACTAACAATGAAATACATCAAGATGCAATATAAATTGGAGATGATGATGAAGAATTTACATTTGCTGGTATTATAGATGAAACAGACCCTTAAATTCAATAATAAATCATTGAAAATATTGGATAATAAATTTTGGTTTAGATTGATCAATCCTAAAATTAAGACTAGAAATAATAATCTGAATAAATCAACGATATAAATACAAATCAATAGGATCCTCCTTTAGAAACTAATTCTAATAATAATAATCTCAATTCTGATCACATCAAAAATCTTAATTAAAATGAAGACTTAAATAATGAGTTACCTCAATAAAATATAGAGAATCTTGAAACTAATGAACTTCCTTTAGAAAACATTAAAGAAAATTAGATAAATCTTGCAATCATTTAGGATGATTTAGTTAATTAACATAATACTATAGATGATAATTAATAAAGATAATAGAATGATTAATAATAATCGGATATACCTTAAATTTCAGATTCTAATCAAAATGAAACTGCGGAAAAACATTAATAAATAGATAATTAACCATTAATATTAAAAGATAATTAAGATACTAATAATATTTTTTATTATAGTGCAAACGTATAATAAGAGAATTAATAAAAAGTAACAGATAACATAAATAATTAAATTACAACAGACAATATAAATAAACAAATTACCACTGAAATTATTAAGGATGATTCTATAAATTAAAATAATCAATAAAATATATCTATAGTAGAATAATTTAAGACTAATGATCCTGATGTAGAGATAATTGAACCTCCTATTAAATTTTAAAATAATAAAGATCTAAAGAATATGAAAGCTAACAATAAATTTAAAATTAATATACTCAGAAATAATGTTAAAATTGCTGAACCTATGATGGAAGAATTACATGATAATTTATTTTTTGAATTTGTTAATCATATGAAATAAGAAATGGTTAAAAAATTAAGTGACATCTAGTACTATAATACTTTGATTCGTTGATGTAATTATATTTCATTTCATATATTTATTAATGTTATTTTAATTACAATTTACTCCTTTTATCCCTATTTATCCTAATAAATAAATGAAGAAATATTTCAATTAATTCAATAAACGATTGCAACATGTAGGATTGACACTTCGAGATGTGAATGCTGATGGAAATTGTCTCTTTAGAGCTATAGCTGATTAACTAACTGGAAATGAGGAAAATTACAATAAGTATCGCTCAATGGCAATCAAATAGCTTTAGAAAAATAAAAATTTTTTCTCTAATTTTCATCATGAAAGTTCTACTACGTTCAATTAATACACTAAACAAATGTCTGAAGATGGAATATGGGGAGGACATTTGGAACTATAAGCTCTGAGTAATTCATTATAAATAGATATTATTGTTCATACTAAGGATAATCATTATATTATAAAACATATGCCAATAAAGACTTGTTGGTCATTTCTTAAAGATAAATTATTAATGTATTTAAATATTTAAAAAGTTCCCATTTAAAAATAAATACATATAGCTTTACATTAAGGGAAAAAGATTATAAATCACTATTAATCAGTTAGATTAATTGATGATAACACTAATAAACCTGCCAAATAACCATAGATCTATTTTGAATAAACTGAATAATTATCAAATGATGAACTTTATTGAATTTTATTTTATGTTTTAATCTATATGTATTTTAAATTTATCAAATAAAATAAAATTCTATTAATTGATTAATTTTAATAATTCAAATCTAAAACCTATATTCAATTTAAAATAGTTATAATAATTTTGAATTTAAAGAATATTAAATTAAATATATTCATACAACAATTGGCTTATTATTAATTTTAACTTCTTATTATTTTCTACAATTGTTAATAATACTCTTAAATATATCTTTACAAATCATAAAAATTTCACTAAATAATCCAAGTGAAAGGATTGTTATATGAAACCAACCACATTTAATTTTATATGAAACTGAAATATAATCCTCAAAATCTTAAATATAAATAAAAGATGTTAATGTAAATAACAATACTGAACTTTCAACTATTGTATTGATTAAAAATAACGAATTAACAAAAATATGCCTATATGTAAAGATCAATTTTAAGTTTAATAAACTTGTTAGAAAAAAGAATCCCAATTGTATTACTTCTGAACAATCTAAAAATATTAATAAATATAATTAAAATGTTTGCTTAAATAAATGTAATATCTAAAATCTATTTTTATCTTATATTAATTTATGAGTAATGCAAAAATGTACTTCCTTCCATATTGAATATAAAACAATAAATAAATAGGATGTAAAAATGATTATGGCTATTATTAATTAAATTATATCCCTACTATTAGATAATTAAATAGAATTTAAATATAATAATACTTTTAATATTAGGTCCCATCCATTAAAAAATAATAATTATTTTATTCCTTTAAAAGTGATTAATTCTTAAATCTCTAAAATAAAAGATTTGATTCCATAATAAAATAATTAATTACATTTTAAAACATAGGTTGACTTGATAAATAATACTACTTTATCCAAAAATAAAAAATATCTCTAACAAAATATATAATTGTAAACTAAAATTTTAATTTTTCCAGCTATTAATCCAAAGAGTAAAAATATTAGACATTATAAAATTTAACAATATATATTTGAAATCAAATCAGCATTTTATCCATAATATTTGAACTTACCGCTACTTTCTTTGTATATATTTGTGAATATTACATCATATATTAAATCAATAGACAATAGGCTAAGTAATGGTTCAATAGTTAAAACATCATATGCTTAAAAATAGATATCTAAATTTTAAGGGAATTTTAAGTTAATGTACCTTAAAATTGATAAATAATATATCATATTGAGAATTACTAAAAAATATTGAAAATTGCAAAATAGGGCAGATATTCCATAAACACCAAAAAAACCATAAATGGTTGACATTGTTATAATTTTTAATCTATTTGATATTTATTTTTCATTTTCATCAAGATATTAAGGGAGTTCAAGAGTTAAAATTGCTTAATCTTGAATAACACTTTATCCAAATGAATTAACTAAACACTAATTTAAATTAAGAAATAAAATTGGTTTTGTTTCTAATAATTGAAATATTTCAATTTCTATTATTAATTATACATTAGTAAAATACTCATCTGAATCTTGAATAATAATTAAATCATAATTATAAATCTTATTTGAAATATTAAAGATTTCAATAATTAAAGTTTATGATAATAGTTTTTAGCTTTCAGATTTAACTTATTCTGTAAATTCAAGATAAACATATTATTTATTTAGGGTTATATTTATGTAACTTAAATTTACTTAAGGTGATTTTTAATAATTACACTCAAAAGGGATTTTTCTACAAATTATATCATCTTTTTAGATCAATTAATATATATTATCTAATTCATCATCTATGGATAATTTACATGATCCATCTTCAAGTAGTTCATATTATTCATCACATATTAGACATTATTAAAAATTACATTCTATACAATATAGTGGACATAACAATTCAATATTATTCTCTTTATTAAAATCTTCACAATCTTCATAGAGTATTTCATCATTTCTACCACAATTTGATAGACATCTTCCTTAAATTAATAAGAAATCAGGTTAACATAAATAACATATTTGATGATCACATTTTACACAACCATAAATACATTCCTCATACTTTAAGCATTAAAAACAACCATGAAATTATAGAAAGTTCTCATCAGAACATTCTTCATTATAGTATGGTATGATAATTTTATCTTCACAATTCAAAGAGCATTCTTAATTATTATTAAATGAATATCCATTTAAACATAGCATACAAATACCATGAATACAAATTTAACAAAATTAAATACATTAAATTTTGCACATATAACAACCATCATATTGAATCTAATTACCATCTTCGCATTCTTCAAATCCTGATATCATATTATCTCCACATTATGTAACACATATATTTTATAAAATATCCAATTCCCAACCTTCTTGGCAATCCAAACAAAACTAATCAATAAATTACACGCATTCTAAAATTATTAGAGGAATAATTATTTCATTCTCAATGTAATTGGACCTTATTTTAAAGTAAATTTCTAAATCTCTAATCATCCAATCTAACTAATTATTCAAATCTCTTATTTTTATATTCAAAGTTGGACCAAACTATTTTTATAAAGATATATCTATGACTCCTTATTATTAAATATCTATTCTATTTTCATTGATCCAAATGGTTAAATCTGTATTTTTATTTATTAAAAATCTAATTAATATGTCATCGCTTGGAGGTAATAAGAATGAATTTTCAAGAGAAATCGAATTGATTCCTTAACAACTTCCAAATTCATCAACATTATACTCAGATCCACCTCCCCATTATTATATATCTGTATCTTCCAATTAACATTGAATAAATGAAAATTAAAGCTTACTCCAAAAACCGCAATTTAAATCGTCATATCCTAAGCATTATAAGCATCCAAAAGGACACTTGTATATACTGATTTTAAATGAATCAAAGCCCCAAGTAGCCTATATCCTAATATATAAATGATACATCTATATTATCAAAGTAAGCTTGAAACATTTTAAAAATGTAATTTCTCCTCTAATGTGGAAATTCAAAATCAAGAACTTACAATTAATATTCAATGCTATTCTCTGAACATGATCTAGTTAAAGGTGATGCAGGAGAGACGATAAAGATTTCATTATTATCATTTTCTATTTTCAACTCTCCCAATGTTAAACCGAAACTTAGTGTTATAATTCAATATATACAGCAACAAATTTATTTCTACTTTAATTTAAAAATGAGGTTGTAAATCAAAAAATGCTCTAATTGTTATATCAAAGTAAAATACTTTTATATTATGGTATCATAAGTAAATGCACCGTATCCACCATAGACATCAACTCCATTACAAATAGTAGATTTTTATCCATTAACATTACCAATTATGAACCATTAATCAACTTATTAAATAATATAAATACCATCCAATCCATCAGGATAGTTTGCTGCTTCTATTTAGTAAGTTACCTCTTAAGAGTTAACTAAAATTAAAGTAAAGATCAATATATATCTCATGAATATTATTAATATAATTTAAATAGTTCAAAAGTTATCATTTAAAAAGATTATTTGTGTTTATTTCTTTATGATTCATTTTAATTAAAATGTTAATAAATAATTAAGACTAATAAAATTGATTTATTTAATATAAAAATTAAAATTTAATTAATTTATTCATAAAAGATATTAAGCATGAGAATAAAAAATTAAACACAATAGTGAAAGTGAAAAAATAAATTTAATTTGTTATCATTTAAATATTATGTTCTTCTCTAATATAAATTATAAATCCATGACCTGCAAAAGAAGAAATATCAATTATTTTAATAAATCATTATAAATTAAGTTTTTTAATATTTTTTATTTAATTAATAAGAAGATGTCATAAATTACCTCTTCACTTCTTAAAGTAGTAAACACCTAGATTTAAGGTAAAATAATTATTAAAGTTTAGATCTTGATTAACATATTTAGAAATAAGAAAAAGTAATTATTGATTAAGCAAATGAGATAAAGTCTTTGAAAATTAGAATAAATCAAAAGGATATGTTGAATACACCTATATTCGATAATCCAATTGATCAATTATTAGCATACCCTAAATCTCTTAATGAACTTGGTTTATAGATATAAGAGGAATTTGAGAAGTTAAAATCTTAATTGAAAGAAAAGGAATAAGAATTACATTAACTTAAATAAAACCCTGAAAATCAAAGAAGATCATACAAACCAAATACCTCTCAAGTAGATGAAGTTATAAAACAACATGAGGAGATTGATGAAATTTTAATTGAATTAGAGAAAAAGCTATATGACAAAAAGCAATAAAAATAAGAATTAGAATAGAAAATAGATAATTATGGGGAAGATGAAAAATTATTAAAATAATTGAAATCATAAATATCTGTATTGAATGAGCAATTAGTAGTAGAGAAAGCATATAATTAAGAGGTAAGAGTTCAATTAAAGAAATTATAATAAGAGACTGAGAGTTTAAATGATTAATTAGAGAAGAAATTAGCAGAGAAATAAGAATTTGAAGATTAAGTAGCTAAAACAAATAGTTAATTAGAATATTTAAAATCTTAAAATATTACGTTAGGAATTGGAACACCTATGAAAGGAGAAACTGAAAAATTAATAGCAATAGATGACCTAGTAAAATAGAATTAAGCTGTTGATGATTTAATGAATGAATTATAAAATAAATTGAATGAGAAATAATAAGCTCATAATTTAATGTTAGATTAAATAAGTAGGAATAATTTATTTGAAAATGAATAAAACTCTTCAACATCTCTTAAACCTTCAAATATGTCTCCAAAAAAGGAATTAATTTCATAATTAGAAATTGAATAACATGAATGTGATATTATATAATAGTAATTGAAATTAAAACAATTAGAAATTTAAGAATTAAAGGAATAATTAAAAAAGGAAGAATAATAAGTGTTTGATTTATAAAATAGACTACAAGAGGAAATAGAAGTTAAGGTTTCAGTTGAATAGTAACTTTAAAGTGTATAATCAAAATAAATAATAATATAACCAACAGTTACTTCTTATATTTAAGAATTACCTACAATTAATATCTTTGGTCCACAAAATGAATCCATTCCTTAAGATTATTAGTTTTAAATTGAGTAATTATAGGAGACAATTAGATAATAGGAATCATAGATTGAATTTTTAAAGTTTGAAATTCAATAAAAGGATGAAATAATGAGTATGTCACAACATACTTACTTATAAGATTTAAATCAATAGAATTAAGATATTGAAAATAGGATATAAGATTTAAAGAAACAATTGAGTTATAAAATAAAAAGAAAAGATTAATTGGAATCTATAGTAAATGAGGATTAAAAACCTAAGAGAAAATCTTTTGTATAAAATACAGAGTTGATGGATTTATAAGAATAATTACATGAAAAGAATATGAATATTGTGTAATTATATGAAGAAATATCTAAATTATAAAAATAGTTATATGATAAGGAATAAGAATTATAATCAAGAGATGTTGAATTAAGATATTAAGCATTAATGAAAACAAATGAAGATTAATGTGAAAAGGCTGATGAATTAGTTAAAAGGAATTTAGCAATGGATGAGTTAATTCATTCATTAGAAGTAAGATTAGTTGAAAAAGAATCTAAATTAAAGGAATTAGAATATTTGAATTCATCTAAAAATTTTGAAATTGAATCTAATTAAAATAATAATTCATTTTATAAAGATAGAGAAAGTATTATTAGAGATAGTGGAATTAATTCATATGATTAAGATCAAGATCATTAATTTGTTTAATAATAATAAATATTAGCTGGTTTCAATAGTAATTTGGATCATTTAAAGAGTAAAGTAGAATGTTAGAAATATGAATTATAAGAAAAGGATAAGATTATTGAATAACTTAAATAATAATTAAATGATTTAAAAAGAAGTCATTTTAATCAATAGATTTTGGCAACTTAAGATGTATCTGTAATTAATAGATCAATTAATGTATTATAAGAATAAGCAGATAATTTAGTAAAATAGAATTTAGCTTTAGAAGATGTTATTCATGAATTAGAATATAAATTATAAGAAAAGAAGAATAAATAAGAAGAAGTCTAAAAGATTATTTAAAATATGATGGAAGAAGAAGTATAATTGAGATAATTGAAATCAGATGAAATGGTTAAAAAGAATTTAGAATTAGATGAGAAAATCTAATAAATGGAATCAAGATTGATTCAAAAATAATAATAATAATATGAATTAGAATAAAGATTATCATAACATTAAAGATCTATGCCTTAGCCTTTATAAGTATTCCATGAAGATCATGATATAATCTAAGATCATAATTCTAATTTATCTGAATTAACTATCTAAATTGCTTAAATAACAGAATCAGTCAGATAATTAAGTTAAGATGATATTGAATTAGAATTTTTATTGAAATAAAAGAAAGAAAAGTAATCTTAAATTGAATAATTAAAATTGTTTATTTAATCTTCAACTGATGTCCTATAAGATTTGTAAACTGAATAATAAATTAAATAGGAATAAGTTGAAAAAATGAAATCACAAAATAAAGATATTGAATAAATGGTTAATGATTTATAGAATTAGTAAATTAATTTAATTGAAGATGCCACCAAATCTTAATAAAATGTTCCTAATTGGTTGAATTAGAATATGGAATCATCTAAAAGATTAAATGAACTTCAAAAAGGTTAATAAAAAGTGAAAGAGCAAATTAAAAATTTAGAATCCTTAATTTTAGATTTACAAATAGTAGTCAAAGAAAAACAAGATGAATTATAACGTATATCATAAGAGAATTATTAATTATCAATTTTAACAAGAAAATAAAAATAAAAGAGAGATCATTTATTAAGAGAATAAATGCCTTTGGGAGAGAAGGTAGGTTTACTTGAATAATAAGTGAATGATTTAATATTAGAAGATAAAAGATTAACTTCTGAATTAGGTAGATTATTTTAAGAAGCAGAATCCGCTAAATAAGTAAAGTAACTTAAAGAATAATAAATATCTGCTTTGAGTATTGAGAGTTAATAATTGGATTAAAATATTATGTTATTAAAAGATGATATAGAATAAGCTAAGATATTAGAATAATAATTGCTCGATCAATAAAATTAATATAAATAAAAAAATGCATTAATAGAATAAGAAATTAAGATCTACACAGAAATGAATTTGGATAGCGCAAATATCAATAGAAAGATTGAAGATCTAACTCATTAAATTTCAGAGGAAAAATAATTATTAGAATAACTAATTGAAGAATTGCAAATTCAAAAAGAATAAGTCTTATTAATTGTTCCTTAAAAAGAAGAAATATTAAAGTTATATTTACAAACCAAATAATAATATGATTAAAGTGTGGAAGATCTATCTGAATTATAGAAATTATAGTAAAAAGTATAAGATTAAAAGAATTAAGTAATGTAAGAAGTTAATTATCTTAAATTATATACAGAAAATTAAGAAAAATAATTACTTGAATTGTAGACTTTAAGAACTAAACTAGAAGATAGTATTAAATAAGAAAATACTTTAAAAAATGCAATATAGGATAAGGCTGATAGGATATAATAAGAATTAGATCGTAATAAATAAGCAATTCAAGCATAAATTTAGATATTAGAGAAATAAAATAGAGAAAAAGAACAAAGATAAGAGCAGATTAAGAAAATTTAATTTGAAATTGAAGATTAAAAAAATAATTTAAATAAATTGACAGATTAATAAATGAAACATCTACATTAATTAGATTAAATAGCAAAATTAGATAAGGATATGGAAAGATTAATGAAAGAAGTATTTGAGAAAGAAGAATAAGTTTAATAATATGCAGGATTAGTATATTAAAAATAATAAAAAGTAAATGATTAAAAATAGAAATTTAATTAATTGGAAGATGAATTGAAATTTTATGAAAGAGAAGAGGAAGAAATAAAAAAGAGAATATCTGAATAAGATGAGAAACTGAGTAAATTAGAAAGAGAATTTTAAATAAGATCAGAAAAAAGAAGTAAATTTGAAGATGATTTAGCAAAAGCTGAAATGGATTTAATTAGTTTAGAAGAAATGTTAAGAAATAAGGATGAAGAATTAAGAAGTTTTAATGAATCAAAAGAAGAATTGATAAAATATAAATAACAATATAATACTATTAGAGGAGAAATAAGAGAAAAATAAGAATAGATCTAAGAATTCGAGAAATAAAGATCTAAATTATCAGAGGAAATCAAAAAGGAATAAGATTAATTAACAGATATCAATCAAGAAATTTATCATAATAAAATTAAAGAGGAGGAAATGAATTTTTAAATAAAATAGAAATTAAAGGATTTAGAATCATTAAATGATTAATTTAAAAAATTAGATGAAGATGCAAAAATGTTAGAAGCTGTAATTTAATTAAAAGAGAAAGAATTGAAATAATATTAAGAGAAGAAAGAAACACTTAAAAAGGATTTAGAAGCAACAAATTT